CCTAGGAGGGAATCCATTTCCCAATGAGGATTGGTGGCTCAGTACTCCGCAGACTACAGGATGCGACCATAGAACCTTGTCCGTCTCTTTCAATAATTAACTAAGAATTCAAAAGTCCGACCAAGATAACGGCAGACACTCCACAGCCACGCGTGTTCCCTCTTAACCACTTCCGGGCGGAGGGAAGCCATTTTCCGTTAAGGACGAAACAGTGAAGTTACCGCTGGCGGTCATTTTTGACGAGAGATGAGTACCAAGTGGTGAATATTACCGGGCTACTTTCATAGTTGATGCGTATTTTCGTTGATGGCTTACGACAACTTTCAGTACCCTCCCTTGCAACGAGGAAAATGAATAACATGACATACAGTGAACCCCGTATTGCACGACGTACCAGCTCCCCAGTGCAAGTAGAGAAGGAAGCTGCTGTTCGCGGAAATAAACTTTGCCAAGACGCATGGCTTGCCATAAGCGTAGTAGTCTAGCCTTACTCGGTAGACTGGCAATGCATGATTCCATAACGGCATGCGCCCTCTACGACAATCCCCCGTCGTTTCCAATGTCCGCTTTTCACAACAAACACTAACCACATCTACCAAAGGTATCAGGCAGACAGGTTTCGGACAACAATTTGTCCGCAAACTCCGAAAACGCCAATAATCAACTATTGGGCGTTGGAAGACACTTTTCCCAAAGAGGCGAGAAAGACACAAGAAGAGGAGGAGGAAACGACGAAAAAATACGATAAAACATGACAGGGTTCGGAATGGAGCCCGGCATCTCGTTGAGGGGCCATTGAACGCCTTACACCAGCTTGTAACGTCCCATTCGTGGTACATGAGAGAGACGCTTCTGTATTTGCCAGGAAACCGGGAAAGTAAACTTAGATCGAGCCAGACAGACACATACGCGTTGTGACCCTGGTGACATTGGCCGCCGATGAGCAATGTGACATCTTTTATTGGTCCGCACTCGTCTCATTGCCCATGTCGTAAACACAACGGGCACATTGTTAGTGAAGACGGGCTTGTTGTTTTACATCTTTAAACTTGGTATTGCGTATTACTTGTACTGAATATCCATACATTATATCTCCATTCCGCTGTCTATTGCAGATATTTCACTTTTTTACTTACTTCCGTGTTCATTTTCAGCCTCTCCTTTGGAGTGTCCACGAGACAAGCGTCCATCATTACTGATCGACATGGCTATAGATCAAATTGACACGGCTGCCAGTCCGGTGACGATCGCCATCATCGGTGCAGGCCACCGTGGTAGGGTGCGTCCCTCTTTGACTTCACCCGAGCCCTTCACAGCTAACACCCTCAGACCTACGCAGGCTACGCGTTGGAGTACCCGCACCTTGCCAAGGTGGTGGCCGTCGCCGAGCCCAGCAAGCACCGACGGACGGCGATGGCGACCAAGCACAGCATCCCCGAGGCCATGCAGTTCGCTCAGTGGAAGGACTTGCTCGCTCACGGGGAGGTCCATGGCAACGTGGCCGACTGCGTCGTCATCGCCGTCATGGACCAGCTGCATGCGGAGGCCGTCGCCGATTTTGCTGCCAAGGGCTACCACATCCTGTGCGAGAAGCCCATGGCCACGTCCATTGGCGAGTGTGTGGCCATGGTGCGCAAGGTACTGGCTGTCGAAGAGCCGAAAGTGTTTGGTATAGGACATGGTAGGTCGTTGTGGACGGTGTTTTGGGCAGCGTTTGGATAGTCGATATCCGTCCGTTGCACCTGTACTGATCGCGCTCGGGCAGTCCTCCGCTATTCACCGTACAACCGTGCCATCAAGGAAGTCATCGAATCCGGCGCCCTCGGCGAAATCATCAACATCCAGCACATTGAGCCCGTCGGCAACGAGCACTTTTCGCACTCGTACGTGCGCGGTGCATGGCGAAAAGAGTCTGAGTCCTCGTTTGCCCTCATGGCCAAGTGCTGCCAGTACGTCTACCAACCGCCGAGTACTGACACAGCCTCGTCGCCTCGCTGGCTCCTCCACTAACTAGCTGCCAGTGACATTGACATTCTCTCCTTCTACCTGTCCGGCCTGAAGCCGACCAGAGTACATTCGTTCGGCTCCATTGGACACTTCAAAAAGTCCCGCAAACCCGCCGCGGCTGGCGAAGCCAAGAACTGCTTGGACTGCGCCTACGAGCCCGACTGCATCTGGAGCGCCAAGCGCATCTACGTCGACCGCCTCAGCGAGCCGGGTGTGCAGTGGGCCAGTCTGTTTGTCGATGCCGATGTCCTGGACGTCGAGAACGTCACCGAGGCCCTCCGCACCACATCGTACGGTAACTGCGTCTACGAGAGCGACAACGACGTCGTCGACCACCAGGTCGTCAACATTGAGTACGAAGGCGGCGTCACGGCCAGCATGACCATGTCCGCCTTCACCGAGGCCATCTGCGACCGTGGCACGCGCATCCAGGGCACCAAGGGCGAGCTGGTCGGCGACATGGTCTCGTTTGACGTCTTTGACTTCCAGACGCGCACCAAGACGCACCACACGCCCGTCCTGGAGGGCGGCTACCATGGCGGCGGCGACACGGGGCTGGCGCGGGCGTTTGTCGCGGCCGTGGCCCAAAAAGACCAGGCACGACTGGGCGTCACACCAGACGACATTCTCACGTCGCATCTGCTCGTCTTCGCGGCCGAGCGGTCGCGGCTCGAGGGACGCGTCGTGGACTTTGCCGAATTCCGAGCATCGTGCGAGGACCGGGCGTCCATGTAATTGGGGGGACGGTGATGCTGCATGATTACATTTAACGGAACGGGACGCTTAGCAATTCAAACCGACATGCATGCATGCCGCTGACCACAGCGACGGTGGAAGAATGACGAGCCGTGAAGCGCGAGGTCCGAATAAGAAAGTCATGAGATTTGAAACAGATTGCCAGCCCCATTTTAGCACGAGTCATTCCATTCGTTGCCGTATTATCAATGACCCCCGCTTATTCACCTGGATTAATAATTCCCACCAGCGCTTTGCTGCCAAATACGGTTTTCAAACCCCGCCAAAGCCTACTGACAGCCACTACAAAACTGCCGTGGAAGGTCCCCGAAAGGGCGCAGGACGTCATAACTGACATAATACAGCAGGCCTCTAGCGCGCTTTTGGAAGCTCTACGGTAATAACGCCATCGTCGCCTTAGGATCTGCCGAGAATAAATGCAGGTAGCATCCCATAGTCGACGAAAAAAGACCTCCACTCTAAACAACATATGACAACAAACAATTGACAGTTAGAAAGAAAGGGGCTTTAAGGACCCCTACCTACTGGAATACAAAGATCGGCTTCACCACAACACAAGCCACGACCAACACTTAAGTCTGCTCATCGTCTGCATCAGTTGCTTCATCTACTTTTACACACATCCCACTTTACCAGCAGATGCAGACAGCTGCAAGACTCGCCCTCCACCAGCTGTCGCATCCTCGCCCGTTGACATCGTCGCCTCGCACAATCTACAAGCCCTTCCTCTCCTCGACGCCCGCTCGACGATCCATCATGACCACCTCCGGCATCTTCCGCTACGCCGACCCGGCCACCATCGTCGACAGCGACGTCCCCTTTGTCAAGCCGTGGGCCAAGGTGGACACCGACGCCAGCTCGTATGCTCGCATCGCAAAGCAGAAGACGGTTGCCAATGTCCGTGACGCGCCCGCCGGCGACCTGGCCGTAGACCGCTCTGGCTTTGCCCTTTACAACAGCCCGGCTACCGAGAAGCTCTTCGTCGATGAGGACGCCATCCGCACGGGCTACTATGCCGAGGTCGAGGCCCTGGTGCGCGAAAAACTATCCACCCCGCAGGAGCCCGTCACCAAGGTCGTCATCTTCGACCACACCGTGCGCCGCCGCAACCCGGACGCGCCGCGCCAGCCCGTGCAGCAGGTCCACGTCGACCAGACCCCGGGCGCCGCCGCGGTGCGTGTGCGCCGGCATGCGAGCAGCGACCCGGCCGAGACCGAGAAGCTGTTGAAGGGCCGCTACCAGATCATCAATGTCTGGCGCCCCATTGGCCACGCCGCCTCCGACCACCCGCTCGGGTTCATCGACTACCGCACCGCCAAGCTCGAGGACGTCGTCAAGGTCGACCTGCTGTACCCCAACCAGCCGGGCGACCCCAACGTCGAAGTCGACGTCCGCGGCAAAGAGGTCCTGCCCGATCCCACCAAGGCCCAGTCGACCGACGGCTACTCGGTCAAGGGCGAGACCTACACCGTCGTCCCCAACGACACGCACCAGTTTTACTATGTCAAGGACATGGTCCCCGAGGAGGCGCTGTTCATCAAGTGTTTTGACTCGCGCAGCGAGGTCCAGCCCGGCGTGGGCCGCCCGGGCGTCTCGGCCTGGACGCCGCACACGGCCTTTGAAGATCCGCAGACGCCGGCCGACGCCAAGGGCCGGCAGAGCATCGAGGTGCGCTGCTTGGTCTTTTACGGCGAGGCCGAGCAGTAGATGCGATGAGCGTGGGGTGCTTTTAATATCAGGTCCACAATCTAGAAAGTTACCATTAGCGAGCATTTTGTGATTTGCAATTTCTTGACGTTTATTCTTTTGGGTTTGGTTAGGTATGTTTGTATTATAAATTATTATCAATTCTAAAAGCTGCAATATCTCGTACATAAAAATGTGAAACAAGACAAATTAGGTTACTTCCAAGTCCCACCCTTCCAATAGAAACAATACGCAATATAGACGTAGAGAAAACCTGTATAATTCTCCAATATTCAATGTACTTTGTCATGTGACGATGTACACAGGGCGACATTAGGTTGTTTGTCCGCGACGCAGATGTGTCATGGCCATCGGACCAGACGATGCACGAGTCAGTATGACATCATGGCTCGCACAGTGCTACTGTGCCTCTTTCTCCTGGCGTGAAACTGATTCCTCGAATGGTGCCTGTTGCGTCGCAGAAAACAAAACCAAAGGTGGCAGCAATGGAGAAGTTATCGGTCGGTTTTCCAGTGGCTATCGTCACCTCAATGTCCGGCTGGCTGAATGCTGTTGAGCGAGGGAAAGACCATCCCCGGAATGAATGGAATGACCACGAATACTATGGTCAAGAGAATCCGGAAAATCAGCTGCGTTGCACTCGTTCTGGTATCAACCTCACGTCGGGTTTCATCGTCGCGAAAGTAATCGATGATTCGGTCGATGCGGTGGATGAGGTGCGGCAGCACAAGGCCCATGTAGGCCACGACGAAGATGACGTAAAATGTGTTCACCATGTTGGTGGCGGCGGGAAAAGATCGTTTGGTAGAAGGGGACGACGAAACACAAAGAAGCGAGGCTGGCAGATGCAAGAAGAAATTCAAGATAATGCAAAAGAAGATGCCACGATGGATGTTCTGGCTGAGGAGTTGACGCAGGAAGAGGAAAATCTACCAGGCCGCCCCCGTGACTTGATAGACAAATCCGAGAAGTATCTAGCCTTGCTGGCGTGTGTCATTATCGAGGCTTATCAGTACGCGCTTCTTGTAGTTTGGAAGTAGCTCGATGTACTATGTTTAGCGTAGATTGTGTTGATGGTGTATTATATAACTCGTCAGCATTAGTCTAAAATATGTAGAACAAAATCGTAGCTTATAATGAAACCTTTCAAATTGTTTTCCACACATGACAAGTTATTCCACTGCGCTTGACTTTTGAGCTGTGCAATGCTCGTCAAAGTGGTGAGCAGTACGATCCATAAAGTCTTACAATAATTCGTGCGCGATGCAGCGACAGTAACGATGATAAATCCTTGCCATGAATAAAAAAAGAGCCCCTACCGTTCACTCCGCACCCGCAATTGTCTCCTGCTTGTCTTCCTGCCCTCAACGCTCCGTCTGTCACCTCCTCTCTACTTTCGTGCCTGTTTACCAGACACGCATTGCCATACGCTGCAAGCGAACCTCTGATATTAAAATGTCGTGTTCGCCGGCTGCAGGCACTGGCGGTCGATCCATCAAGTCTTTGAAGCGTAGAACAAGGGGCGCACCCTTAACGCGGAAATTCGACAATGTGCGACGGTTCAGCGGCGTCTGGAGAAGCGGCAATGGTCCAACCCAGTGCATCAGCACTTCCTGCTTGACCACAGGCTGATTCGCTGCATGGCTGGCGCGCGTGGTTGTGGCGCCGGGGCGTTGCGGTCTTGACAACTCGGCGACCCACTGCTCGATTTGGATGGTTGACGTCGCGACCAGCAGCTTCACTAGCACGACGACTTTCATATGGAAGTTGGAAGCGGTGAGCCACCATTTTGCCTTGATCCTGAGCCACGGCAACGTCTGGCTCACACCCGCCTCGATGACAAGAGTTGGCCAGAATGCATCGTCGTGAGGATCGCGTCTGCTTGACGGGCCGCCTGATGAATCGCCCTCGCCGGACCCAGATGCATCGCCCGGCGGGTCAAAGGTTGCACCGCCGTCGTGTCTCCATTGGTCCGCCAGGCCCATATCCTTGATGACATCCTGTATACAATCGTACATTTCAAGGTGCGCCCGTTCGTGGTGCCTTGTTGGGATCGTCACCATGAGGCATGCGAGATCGGGCAGGAAGAAAAACCGGCTGCGGCGGCCGCGGCGCTCGCGCTCGGCCTCCATGGCGCGAAACTCGTTCACAGATATGTGGCCAACGACCAAGCTATCCGTGTCGCTGTTCTCACGTGCATCATCGATCTGCTCGAATAAGGCCTTGGTGTTGCTGAACGTGACATCCGGCACAATGGCTGACTCTTCAACGGCGTCGGAAATTTCCACTTGTGGGGCCATCGTGTCGATGCTTGTCGTCGTTGTGTATGTCATCGCTATCGTCGATATCGTTGTCGCTGTGGTCGCCGTCTCGTGGCTAGGTGCGCGTTCTTGTCCTTCTGGTGTGTCTTCGGACGTAGTATCCACCTTTCCAGGTAGACAAGCATGTAGCCGCAGGACAATCGTGCCTTACTCCGTGTTAGTAAAGAAGCCAATCAATGACACTGTGAATGCTTGATGAAGGATAATGATGACGTGTGGTGTGAAGCGGAAACGTTCGACGCCAGAAAAAGACAGCAATGAGCAAACTCAAAGTTTCGCGATGGGAAACCTACACGGACGCGTGGCCACGTACAAATGTGATATCGGCGCTTGCCCGTGGGGAAAGAGCAATGGCAAAGTTGACCACAGTGGGAAAGAGCGATGGAGCAATGTCAACAATAACACAGTAGCGCAATAGCACAATAGCACAATTGCAGAAGCGCAAAGTCGATCTGAAAAGGTGCTGCTGTATCCCTGCAATCCATACAGTCACTTGTCGCCCTCCGTCAAGCGATACGTCAGGTAAGATAGCACTTGAATAGGAGAAAGAAGAGTGATAGCAATGGTGCTTCCATGCTACCTTTTACTCCTCCAACGTGATGCATTCACGCCGTGGTCTATTGGAGCCCTTTTTGTGTGCAGCGCGCCACAGGGGCGTACGCATACTGTATGTAGGCCCTGAATAATCCACACAGCGCAGGCTCAATGGCTGTCTGTTAAAAGCAAGTCATTAGTAATATCCCGAAATACTACGTATACACTAGGAGTTGGTTTGTACGAATTCCGGTGGTCAATAATATGTACTATTTACATTTACAGGATCTGTGCTATAGAACTGCCGCCAGCATTAAATAAATAGTCCACCGTCATAATTATATTCATGGCCCATATTTCACACTTCGGCGCTGTCGATGTTGCGGACGAACAAGAAAAAGAACCTCACGGCGTTGATGTGGTTGTTTACGTTTATCTTTTCGTCAATGGTGTGGACACCCCGGAGGGCACCAACCAGATCCTCAGGGTCGTAACCCGGCGCAAACCTGAACAAATGCTTCGTCAAGTTCCAAAAGAACCGTGTGTCTGTGTTTCCGGTCATGATGCCGGGTGCTGGACGATGGTCAGTACGAACGAAATGGAACGAAAGGCCGGTTTCACATCACATATGGATACGCTCGCTCTCCCTCCGACAGTGCCACTTACTAACGATCGTCTCTTCGCCGTAGATGGCCCGGACGCTGCCTGCCAGAGCCGAAAACGGATTGACGCCGGTGCCGTCGGCGGGCGAGATGGGCGACGACTCGCTGCCCTGCGGGGCGACGAGGACGATGGAGTCTGCATCGTCCTGGCCGTCAAAGGCGTGCAGGCTCAAATTGTACTTGGCGGCCACGCCGCCAGCGATGCGCGTGAGCCGGTCGTAGACGACTTGCGTCGTCTCGCCAATGTTGACGCGGTGGTTGATGACGGCCTTGGCGCGCTCGGGCATGGCGTTGACCTTGACGCCGCCGGCCACAATGTCCACGGCCTGCGACGTCTGCAGCAGATACCGGATCTCGGGGCCTTGTTTGGCCGCCTCGATCGCCAGCCGGTCCGGCTCGTCCAGGCTGTTTGACGGACGGTGATGCTTCAGCAGTGTGCGGAGTTTGGGGGGGAACGCGGCCGCGTGTGCGGCGCCGCACTGGAGCTGGGCAAAGTACGGGTTCCGCTCGTCGAGGCGTGCCGGGTACTGCGTGGCCTCGACCTGCGTGATGAGCTCGCTGAGAATGCCGATGCTCGTGTGGTCGCGGGGAATCGAGGAGTGTCCGCCGGGCGAGCGGACCGTGACCTCGACATTGGTCGATCCCTTCTCGGCGACGCCGGGCTTCGCGAACAGCGTCCCCCACGCCCGCTCAAACCCAGCCCCCTCGTCAATGACAAGAGCGAGGCCGTCGTCGCCGTAGCGGTCGTGGAGGACGGCCGAGATGTTGCCGGCGCCGTGGTAGCCAAAGGTCTCCTCGTCGAAGCCAAATGCCAGCAAGAGCGTGCGCTTGGGCTGGAAGCCGTGCTGCACCAGCAGCTCGGTCGCTTCCAGCACGGCAATCAGCTGGTTCTTGCAGTCGCTCGAGCCACGGCCCCAGATGAACTTGCCGTCGTATGCGCCGCTCCACGGCGGGTACGTCCAAGCGTCGATTGTGTCGTCCGGGACGGGCACCGTGTCCTGGTGTGCCATGAGCACGGCGGGCTTGCGGTGCGCGGCATCGTCGTCGCCGGCACTGCCCTGCCACGTGTAGAGAAGACCGTGGGTGTTGATCTTTTCGACGCGCAGCGTCTGGTGGACGGCCGGAAATGTGCGCTCGAGGTAGTCATAGAAACCAAAGAAGACGTCCCATCGGCGGTCCTCGCCGACTTCCCCGAGGTCGTCGAACGTCTCCGTCCGGATCTGCACGGCGCCCGAGAGGCGCGCAATGGTCTTGCTGCGGAAATCGTCACTGGCGAGGTGCTCATATGCTTCGCTCAGCTTCTTGTCCTCGGCCGGGAAGAGGGCCGCTGGCTGCACACAGACGGCCTCGGAATGAGAAGACAAGGGCGGGGATACCCCGCCCCGATGTCTCCAAGACTGCGTTACAACATGAGAAACCGCTAGGTAAGCAGCGCCCAGGAGCACCGCGAGCAGCCAAACGGCGATACGGCGGCGACTCGAGACTCGCTTGTAATGCGCGAGTGGCTCTATCATGATTTGTTGTTTTTCAGACATTGTAGCAGACGTCGTGGGAATGGTGAGCACGCAAATGATTCTAAAACCTGAAACATAAAATGCGAACGTCAAAGCAAAAACTGGAATAAAAAATTGAAGACAAAAAGTTGGAGATTTTTCAAGAAACGTGAGCGAGGGCCTCCTCCCGGGGCCGGAGGGCTATTATTCCCGTGGAAATAGTACAAATACCCCAGGATCTGCATAATTTCCACAGAATCACGCCGTTGGCGTTATCTTCAGATGCGCATGCGGATAATATCACTTTAGCTGCGATTATACCATATGCATGCCGGCAACGTGACGGTACAGACGACCCCTGCATCTGACAAATAGACATTGTGTGGATGCCGCTACGCGAACTGAGAGTACAGCCGTCCCACCCCACTTCGAGATTTGCGGACCTGAAGAAAATAGAAAGTCGGTGGTAGTGTTTTTGCATTGAAAAACTGGCCACCGGGAGCCGAGAGGGGATCTTGAAGCACAAAGTAAACAAATACAAAGGAGTTAAGAGTACCTCTCTAGGGCCGAGAAATGACCCTAGAATGGGGTACGCCAAACATAGTAAGTTATTATCGGCACTGAAATTATAAGAAAGAGACATCGATGTAGAGAGAACACAGTTATTTTATTCGCGGCCATTAAGGTGACGAATGAAAACGTGGAAATCATAATACATAAAACAACGCAGCTTACACCAAATTTTATGTCCCCCTTAAATCAAAAACTGTCGTGGGATGGAAGTTCCACAGCGTAGGCTGCGGAGCCCTCATAACCTCTGCTCTGGGCCGATGATGGATTGTACTTTTCGGGCGACGAGTCGGCCTCGTGGTAGACGTTTGGATACATTGCATGGGGCACACCTGTTGCCGGAGGTGGCCCAGGCGGGGGCGCTCCGGCATGTATGCCATGCAGGTGTGGAGCATGTTGTGCGTGCTGTGCATAGGGCGGCGCTGGTGGAAATGGCGCTGTCGACGGCCCGGACATGTCAGGCGGTGGTGGCGACGATGTCGACGTTGATGGGCCGTCATGCTGTCTGTCGCCGCGACTGCTCGACCGGTTTCGCTTGATGATGAAGACGACTGCTATAGCCGAACTGCAGAGCAGGGCGAGCCCACCGAGAACACCGCCAACTATGGCCCCGACGTTCGTGTTGCTAGTACTAGCCGTGGACGGTGATGGTGATGACGTCGCCTGGCTCGTTGTAATGGAGCTGCTGCTAGACGACGAGCTTTGTGCTGCAGGCGATTTTGTAGCGGGCGACGAAGTGGATGATACAGAGGGTCGGGTTGAAGTTGTCGGGGGTGCTTTTGAGGAACTGGTCGTTGACGGGGTGGGTGTAAAGGTCGGTGTGACTACATAGTGGTCGGTCACCGGATCGTGTCCACAGGCCACATATGCGTAGCTCTGGTCCACGCCAAACGTCAGCATGGCCGTCGAGCAGTAGGCCACATTGGTGCCGGAGCTGGGACTGTGTCGCGTTAGACGATGGTGTAAACATACACACACGTGCAAATGGGTACTACGTAGGTACCGAATAACAACATACCATGTAATCGTCGTTAGGCCCGAGGCAGCATTGAATTCACAAATGCTGGTGCAGGTCCCCGAGTCACTACATGCCGCAGCAAGACCGCAGTCCGTGGCGGCGATGACCGTTGTTGGGCAGAAGCCCCAAATGCCATGCTGCGTGTCGATGCGGCAGTCAAACCCAGGCTGGGCCGAACGGGGAGCGCTGGCATTGCCATCGAGATAACCACATGTGATGAGCTGACCGTCGGTCTGGGCAGCAGCCAAGGCAACAGCGGTGGGCTGTTGGGTGGCAGCTCGAAAGTGCAGTGGTGCTGTCTTTGTGGTTAGTGATGCTGGGGTCGGAAGCGTTCTACCAACTGCAGCAATGCAACAGACTGCATGCAGAAGGAGAAGCTGGACAGCAAGCAGTGCGAGATGCATTCTGGCAGGTCACACAGACGTCGACGATGACAATGTGAGGCAGGAAGGACAGGTGTGACGGTCACGACAGAGTCGGCTCTAGTGTGACATGATGTCGGCAACGCCTAAGTAAAGCCGCACGGGACTAGGTAGACACGAGGATCAATACACAGGAATAAAAATCGATGCGTCTTGAAAAGGACTGGACAGTGGCAGCAATTCATATGTAGATCATGTTGTCCATATATGTGCATCCACGGCTGTTTACACGAGACCAATCGCTACCTGCAGACATTGCACGAGACCCGTTACCACCTGCAGACGCGCCCATGTTCTCTGAAAACACAGTAAACATGCATGCCAACACATCATGTTCACCTGGATAGCGCTGTGTTTGCATGGCAACGTAAATTTAAGGGGCGTTGGGGGCCAAATTCGAATCAAAACGACGTGTCAAAGGCGGGTTGCAGGGGTTGGCCATCGCTAGGGAGCTCCTGAGCTGGTTTGTTTTTGTTGCGAAGTATGAGTCGGCGTGTGTTGATGAATGTTGTCTTGTACGAAGAGGATAACCCGTATATTTATTTTTTCTTTTCTTTTCCATTTGTTTTTAGTCATTGCTTCCTTTTTTTTTCTTTTTGGTAGCTGCACATGTGAATTTGCACCCGTACACCTTGAAATGACTCTTGAGGAAGCGTTTGAAAATGGACAAAAGTTGCCCGTGCACTGAGTGCCCATCTCTTGGCCTTCTTGTAAACATTTTCCCAATATCCATGCAAAGTCATTCGCCCTGGATGTTCCAAATCCGCAACAGTAACCTGCAACAGGTGCAGCAAAGCATGCAGGGGCAGCTTGACGCGTCGGGTCGCATTTAGTTCAGCGCTTAGTACAAGAGAGAACGGAGTAAGACGGGCTACAGAGTGCGTCGAGCTCTTTGTCGAGTGCCACTTACAGGCAATTAATTATTACCTGCATCGGCATGGCTGCACGAATCGAAGGGCTGGAATGGGCGATCCTCTAATGAACTAAAGGACACTCCCTGGCGGAAGCGCCGTCCCTCGTGGTCCTAGCGCTAGCTGATCGTCCATATTTGCTCACTAAAATCGCCAACGGCCAAAGGATCCCCTGTTCAGTACCTTTTTTTAGGGGTCACATGACCCCACTACAGCAAGACAGCGAGCGATTGGACATTCTAACCGCCCAGACGTTGACAGGCCCCAGAAAAAAATAGTGCAGTCGGCCGAAACATTCAAAGAGGAACGGAGATGCTGAAAACATGCTGCAGGGGATGGGGTCTTGGCCCCTTTTTGTCCACTTGCTGCTGTGCCGCTTTCAAAGTCTTGAAAGCTTACTTTGATATTCCATGCTCCTCAGTTACTTCAACTTATTTTCCCCAAGTTGATTTGACCCATCCCCACACGACTTAATATGGTATCGCAGTTCACTGTCGTCCGTCCATTTGCTGTGTTTTCGTTCCCTCACTTGCTCCCGTTCACGTCCTTCTACGGCACACTTCGCGATGCGCCGTAAGTACCTCTTTGTTGGGCAAGTTCTGCTTCTGCTGCTCGTCGTTGGCGCTCTCTATTACGGTAGCCACCACATCACTCGACTGCCGGCATCGATACGATTACCCAACAGTGAAAGCAGCGACAACAGTGCCGCCGGTGGCACCACGGGCACCACAGAGACCTCTTACACATACAGTGGTGAGTACCTTTTGTTATCACGGAATCATCCATGATCGTGACTTCCCACGGGCGCACATTAACCGCATTTTGTATCTCCGTGACTAGGCATTCTCTCGGCCGAGAACATCACACGATATGTGAATAGCATCTTCGACGCGAAAAGCGAGGACCTCCCCCGACTCAAGTGCCCCGACATCCCCTCCCCATCACGATATGACAGTCTGAAATCTTCCCCAGACGATGGTCGCCAGATCAAATATTACTTTGCGATTGACCTGCGAGATACGGTGCCACTTCTGCCGCGGCTGTTGGGCAGTGTCGTCGAGACAATCAAGTTTCTCGGTCCAGCGAGCTGTGCGCTCTCCATCGTCGAGGGCAACTCCCACGATGGAACCTATGACATTTTGCAAGCCATCAGGGCAAGCTTTAACGATCTCGACACCACATACTTCTTGCGCTCGAGCGCCGTCGATCCCAAAGAGGGCGACCGCATTGCCAAGCTCGCCGAGCTGCGCAACCTCGCACTGCAGCCGCTGCTGGACGGCAACGTGCCTGGGGCCGACCAGGACACCACCGTCGTCTTTCTCAACGACGTCGCCGCCTGCACCGAGGACATCCTGGAGCTTGTCCACCAGCGCCGCCGTCTGGGCGCGGACATGACCTGTGGTCTCGACTGGGTCTATGTCGGCCGCGACCCGACGTTCTACGATGTTTGGGTCGCCCGCGGCATGAACGGCGACTCCTTCTTTGAAATCCCGCCCGACGGCAACTGGAACTCCGCCTGGAACCTGTTCTGGAACAACGACGCTGCCAGGGCCAGCCTGGCGGCCCACCGCCCTTTCCAGGTCTTTTCCTGCTGGAACGGCGCCGCCGTCTTTGCAGCGAAGCCATTGTTGGATGCGGCCTCCCGCATCCGCTTCCGCGGCCCGCGCGACGGCGAGTGCAGCCAGGGCGAGCCGGAGCTCTTCTGCAAGGACATGTGGTTCCACGGCTACGGCAAGATTGCCGTCGTGCCGAGTGTGAACCTCGAGTACTCGGACGCCAATGCCCAGCGGATCAAGGACCTCAAGGGCTACACGTCACGGTGGACGGCCGAGGCCGGCGACGAGGACGACGAAGACAAGATTGCGTGGCAAACGACGCCGCCCGAGACGGTCAAGTGCATTCCGTCCTATGATTCGCAAAGTTTCCGCCCGTGGAACGAGACGTTGGGGTAAACACACATTTTTCAAGGGGCGGTTTATTTACATTGGGGCACGGTACGGGAATTTAGCAAGCGGTCTCGTATTGGTGTACGGCGCTATTTTGGGTTGTTTTTTTGGCAAATAGGCTTTTTTGGATATCTACTTAGGTAACATAGAACGAATTAATAACACAATTGCATGGTAACTAATGTCAACAGGCTACGAGGTAAGAAGATTCAACGGCACTTATCATTACTACATCTACCACGATATAGATTACCATTACCCATTGCTTCCAGTGCCATAATATTGCCATAATATTTTTCACAAACGGCAGATACCGTAACCTACGACTGCTCTTAATCGCTGACCTCGGTGAGATCAACAACATCCGACACGGCCCTCCGTTTGGTTCCACGAGCGGGCAATGACGATGTCATCGAGGGACCAGCTTCGTTCAGCCCACCGGGCGACGGTGTTGGCTGGACCGTCATAATCGAGGCCCCAGGTGCAAGTGGGAATGAAGGGTGTGTGCTCAGGAAGGCCAGCTGAGGCGGTAGTCGAGCAGCGCCGCTGCCCGTCCCTGGAGCGGCCGCGGCGTCATCTGTTCTGACGCGTTTTGCGTCTGGCTTCTGGGCCGACGCCGGGACCCGTTTGGTCAGCTTCTCCATGGACATGATCCCGTCGTAGCTGGTTCCCAAAATCCGACGTAGGTCCGTCTGGGAAAAGTCCTGCAAGGTTTGGTTGGCGGTCGCTTTCCGACGTGCCCAATCAGCCCTTGCTTTGGTAAATTGCTTTGTCGTCTTAGTAAGGACGAGAGTGTGGGGGGTTGTATGACGTTCTGACTCGTGGGTACAGTCCACGCCATTTTTTTCGAGGCTCTGGTGGATGTGCTGGCGCCGACTTTTGTTCACCTTGACACGATATGTTTTCATGTTGCCGTCAGCCAAGAAGGTATTGACTGACGTACAGTCTGTGCAGCACGGCGGCATTTGTTGCCGTGCCAGTCCGGGGGCCGATTTCGGGTACGGACCAACACCAACGGAGGCGTACGCTTCGAGCACTGCGACGTACATATGTTGGTGGGGTGGCAGCAGAGAGGCAGCATCCGCTGCCGTGTTGGAAGTATCGTCATTGCCCTCGATGGCATGGTCTTTGATTGTACCGGAGATTTGTCTTAAGACAGGCAACCACAAAAATTTGACTTCTTCAAGCATGTCCGGCGTGGCACCAGAAAATTCACCGCTCGCGTCTGGGGTGAAAAAAGACGCAATCTTGCGGGACAATTCCAATCGCAAGCGGCGTGTGACAGGTGTGTTTATTGAAAAGATGCTCTTGTAAAAACAGGAGACATATTCACTGTCCAGGACCGTGACGAACGCGGACCGCTTTGACTCGTTGTCCCAGGGCAATCGGCTGCCTAGATGTGAATCCAGTTTCTGCTGGAAGCCGGCGGAAGATGACAGTGTCGAAATGTCCATTTCAGCGATAACGGGCTCGGCCAAATCTTCGTAGATTGCGGTCCACTTCTGGTTTAGGTCCGGCGATTGTGTTGTCAACGCCTTGTCGGCAATAACAGACAAGCATCCGAGTGTAAATGCTGTGTGCTTCGACTGTTTTTTGAGGATGGGCACCAAGCTAGCGCAGCGTTAGTAGATGCAACAGACAAAGGGGGGGCCAGTTAACACATACCGTGTCTCAATTTGGTCAATGGTATAGTAGGACAGACAATGCGTGACAATGGTCTTTCCATCCACGTATCCAAGGGCCTTTGATCCAAGCTTGTCCACGAGCATCTCGGTGGTTGTTTGCGCCCACTCTTCCCGACTGGTGCCATCAATAGCACCTGAAGACGAAGCAACCGACTTCGTGGCTTGGGAGTTTGTTGATGTAGGACAAATGGTGTTGATGGCATTAAAGGCGTCGGATAGAGCTGGAAGGGCAAGCACCGCACTGCGCACATGCGTCTCGATTTGGGCAAAGGTCACATTTTGATCGTTGTTCAACGTGTGGTTTACCGAATCAAAAAAGACCTTGGCGTCGAAGTGTCCATGCGACTCTGTCAATACCTTCTCGAAGTATTCCCAGTCTCTCATTGTCACGAGAATTGTAAGTGCAGTTGTCGCATGGCCGTCGTCCACAGTGAGCACATCGTAATCCAACGGCTGTTTTGTCGTCCACAGGTGGTCGCAGATTGCGCGGAGGATTTCGAGGCGGTCCTTGTCTTGGCTGATGACTGGACTTGTGCAAGTCTTCTTGAGGTATTTGAGGAGGTGGCTGAGGTTGGATGTCACGGTTGTACCTTCGGAGAAGGAAAATTGTTTCTTGGTGCTCAGGGCCGTACAGAGAAATCTGTTTAGGCACACCCGGGGCACAATGACAACCGCCTTGCCAGAGTTAGTTTACGTGACTGGCAGAATAGGAAGGGTGAAAGGGGACAGCAAGGCCAGGACATACCGAGACCTGGTAAGCGTGTGTGGCCGATGGACCTCCCTGCCGGATGTGGATATCGACCACAATCACCGCGTCAAACGTGTCGAGCGCGTCAACGTTGGATTGCCTCTTACTCTACCAGTCATACGCCATGCCATAGGAAGATAGAGGCCCTGTTCGCAAGGCTATAGTCTGAGGTTATCATACGCTGCCATTATTTGGCTATCACATAACGTCCAGGGGCGGTTCGCTTGTACTTCTTTCGGTATTTTCGACATACAAGTCGTCCTTGTTCAACAAATGTCCTCTTCCATCCACGGTGCGACCTTCCAATCAGGCAGGACAAAGCCCTCAGATGTGTCTAGTGCATTCGGCGGCAGGTCAATGTGCGGCCGCAGCAGTTCCCAGAAGATACGATAGCTCCCGCCCGTCAAGTGCAGCCCGTCTGTCAGAAGCTCGCGCAGGTACCCCTCTTGGCTCTTCGAGTCTTGTTCGTCTCCGAGCAACACTCCCGCCGATGCATCCCACCCAGGCGTCTTTTCGATCGCCCTTTGCATCAAGGCTGCACTCAAGTCCACCAGCTCTACGCCAGGTACATCGTTGGCCACACCACGAGCAGCTTCAGTATACTGGGCGGTGATGCGTGCTTGTCGAGACGTTGCGGCGCCTGGTGTGTTTTGACGCTCCAGTTGGCCCAAGTGGAAGCCATTGAGCGGTGGTGGCGTCACCAAAATAATCTTGGGTGCATGGGCCTGGATGTTGGGATGAGTGACGATCCGCCTCAGGTTGGCCTTGTATTGCTCGAGGGGCACATGCTGGTTGTCGACGTCGCGAGGGAGGGCGGCATCGTTGGCACCGAGGAGAACGACAAGGTAGGAGAGGTCGGGCGTCGATGGTGACGTCTGTTGGAATATGCTCGGCAGGACACGCAACGCCTGCGATGAGTTGTAGCCACCCAAACCACGATTCACCACATCGAAACGGCGGATGCAATGCGTTTGCAGCGCCGACTGCAAGGAGAACCCATCCCGGGTGTCGGCAGCGCCGCGGACAATAGAGTCGCCAAACAGAACGACCTGCGGGTAAAGAGTGGCCATGTTGGTATATGGGGGAGGGTGGACGTGTGCACTCGAAATGCAGGCCGTGGAAGTGCTTCCCTGTGCGGAGAAGCTGTTCCAGTTCTCCAACATCCCACCATCGTACGTACTTGTACGTCGTACACCGATGCAAGTAGGGGGTGCTCTTCATTTACTGCTGTTTGTCGGCTCTTCCTCTTTTCGGACGTGCCGCTCTCAGCTGACGGTGCCCGATCCATCTCCGACCCAATTTGGCATTCATCTCATTAAACGCTTCTGGAAACGTTGCGGTGCAATTCATAAACAAAATAACAGGTAAAATGTCCACATCACAACGGGATTCATCAGGAAATGGAAATCGGCATTCGTATCCTAACTACCGTGTGCGTCAAGCGCAAGAAGGTACTCCCTGCACTGCTACACTGCGCTACAACACTGCACTATTACCTTCTCCATTCTTGCTCGGTTCCAATATTCCCTATTATCGTTATAGCTCCACCACTTACTCGCGATGCTCCACGGCCGTGGTCGCCGCCGTCTTTTCATCGACCACAACGTCCATCTCAATGATGTACGTCGAAAAGTCCTTGGCACGCACGCGCTTGTTGAAGAGAATGTCCAGCTCCTCGTAGGTGCGGCCCTTGCACTCGGGCAGGCGGAAGTAGCCCCAGATGAAGCAGAGCAGACAGAAGCCACCCGCCAAAAAGCCCGTCTTGCCCTTCCAGTTGCCCTCGGTCGGATTGAGAACGTACGGCGACACCGTCAGGCTGATGATGTTGAAGACATTGTAGGCATTGCGCGCCAAGGCGATGGTCTTGGAGCGCAGCTTGGTGGACGAGGTCTCGCCGACGATAACGTACGTGGCGGGACCCAGAGTCAGCTCGTAGACGGCAAACCACAGTAGGAACAGGGCCGACGAGGCGTAGCCGGTGCCTGCCGTCTGCTTGGGGAGGGCTATGAAGCCGATGATGAACATGCACGTGGCCATCAGGGCGGCGCCGTACAAAAAGGTGGTGCGGCGGCCGAAGCGCGTCATGACAAAGACAGAGAGCACGTTGCAGACAAAGTGCAGCGAGGACTGGCCGACAGACATCTTGTAGGCCGCGGCGACGGGCAGACCGGCCTGTTCATAGAAGTAGGTGGCGTAGTTGACAATGGCAAAGCCCACAAGCACCTGGCAGACCCAGGCGACACAGGTAATCTCGGTGCGCCACAGGTGGTCGCCCTTGAAGCAGTCGGCGTAGCTCTCGCCCTCGGCCAGGCTGCGCTCCAGCTCGGTGGTCTCGACCATGAGAGCCACGGCTGCCTTGGCCTCGTCGGGGCCGACCGACGACAGCCGGCGGAAGGAGTGCTCGGCCTCGGCCAGGCGGCCCTTGCGCACCAGCCACCATGGTGATTCGGGGCAGAAGATGACCAGAGGCACGATAATAACGGGCCACACCCACTGGACGGCCACGGGAATACGCCAGCCCCATTGGCCGTGCTTGCCGTTGAGACCGTCCAGAACGCCGTTGGAGACGAGCTGGCCAATGCCCCAGCAGGTCACAACAAAAATCTCAAGGTAGGCGCGGAGGGCCACGGGGGCAACCTCGGACGCATACGCCGGGCCCATGGTCGTAAACACACCCCAGGACAGACCGCAAAGGAGCTCGCCGACAAAGAGGACCTGAATATTGGGCGCGAAAAAGACGATAAAGATGGTGCCCGTAAGCCAGGTAATGGCACCGAGCAACACCTTCTTGTGGCCGAAGCGCTCCGTCAGGATACCGTTGAGGAAAATGCCGACAATGCCGCCGAGCGGGTTGGACAGGCCAAGGGCCGTCTGCCACTTAGCCTCCACCTGGTATGAGTTCTTGACGGGGTCGGTCAGGACACCGAAGCGCTGCTGGAAGGTCGGGTACCCAAAGAAGGAGCCGATGAGCGCGGTGTCGTAGCCGTCCATGATGATGACGAGAGTAATGACGCACGACCAGAAGATGGCCTTGGGGTAAAGGCGCAGGGCCTCGCGGATGCTCATGCTGCGCTCGACGTCGGCGGCATGGCTGGCTTCGGCACTGCGGCCGGCCCACCAGGGCGTGAGGTCAGCCGCGGCGGCCGAGGTCGGCGCGGGTACCGCAGCCGATGCCGTCGCCGGCGGCGACTTTTCGTAATTGTCGGTCATGTTGAGGAGATGCTGGTCGGATACACAATAACGAGACAGACAACAAATGCGAGAGACCAAAGGAGAGATCCTGAAAGAGGGAGAAAGAGTCTGATCGTCGTGATAAGCATCTCGCTGGGAGGATGAGGCTGGGGGCTCGAGATATAAACAACTTTTGTCACCCCGTCGCCGTCTCCGTGATCTCGTGTCCGGTGACTGGACTGTCGTCTCCTCTCCTGACAGGGGATCACAATGCCACATTTCAACGCTCCTCTCACACCTCTCCACTTCGGCCTCCACACTAGACGTTAGAATGGCAAGGACGAGGCTGACGGATACCTTCCCAATCGGGGGCGGGTCCAAGGCGGTCCACCTTTAATGGCAGAAAGAGCGTTTGCACGCTTCCTTTCCCCGCACGCCAAAAAGACGGGGTCGTAATTTTCCAGCCTGTCGTGCCTGCCGTACGAACGTCTGGGGTCGGGCCATGTCTGCGAATTGACATTGTTGGTTGTGATGAAAAGGATGGCCGAAGGAACTAATGCACCGTCTGACAAGACTCCGCGGGGAAGGGTTGCTTCTCATGTCCATTTTCCTCGTTTTTTGTCGATGTTTCCAGCCAATACAGACCCACACATTCCCAGATGCTGGGGACCCCAGATCCCGGACCCACATTACCTTTCTGTCCGATTCTCAAAAAGGCGCCCAATACGCCTCCAAAACTTCCACCTTCGCCCACCTTACCGAGTCCGTGCGAGACCTTTTTGTTTGTGTTGCACCTGGTTTTCACTTGGTTTAATTGTTTATTCTTCCATGCCTAGCTGTTTCCGGCTGTTGCCCACCGACGCTCCGCGAGACGAGAATACCAAAAGGGCAATGCAGAAGTTCATTAATAAACGTTCCGCTGGTCCCACGTCGCACCGACGATTCCCAAGTGTTTCCGAGGGTACCATCGTTGGTGGCAGAAACTTTGTCAACGGTATGGCAGATAGCCTGTCTGGTTTTTTCACATAGCCGATTAGAGGAGGCAGCGAAGAAGGTACTTTGGACGCGGTAAAGGGATTTGCAAAAGGCACGCTTGGCCTGGCCACAATGATTCTCTTTGGTACGTTTTTACCTTGTTAGTTTAATGTACACTCTATCAAAATAAAAAACCCACACCCTAGCAGCCCCATTTCCATCATCATTGCCAGTCTCATACTAATCGTGTACAGACTACATGGAATCACCAAGAACATCGAATCGTTGGTTTGAACCAAGGCCCGCAAGGCCGTTGTTGCTGCACGACTTCGCGATAGGAGGCACCAGTTTGTGAAGATGCACTTGGCTCTTGAGTAGCAAACGCATATCGTCCAGTTTTACGATCAGCTTGTAATATAGATACATGAGTAATACAGCGCCTTTTGTCTTTTTAACTTTTGCTACGATTTGTTTGGGTGGTTGCCTCGCGGTTTTGCACGACGAACACGTCATGTAGAACAATCGATTCTATTTGGTAAGGTACATTAGGAAAATTTCATACAAAAGTTGTCCATTTCTACATGGACATATCTATTTAGAAGACAACGCCACAAGCAGGCCATCATCGCCAGGCTCCCTGATTATGATGTTTCCTTTTAGGAGCCCTGACCTGATATCCTTTTCAAGTTGCTTTCATTTCTTGATATGAAAATATGGCCCAAAGCGGATAGTGCATAGTGCGAAGCATCTTCGGCTATTCTCCCATCCGACGACAAGAGTTGAATCAGAATGAGAGGCCTCACTATTTTGGAAAACGACGCCAGAATTGACAGGCGTAGTTGGGCCGCGCGATACGAAGCAGAGATCGCCTCGTCGGCCGCGCGTGAGAGGCCTCGGGAGCCAGACGGGCGTATCCATCGAAGGGCGCGCGCCACGGCTTGTGCTGCTAATCCTGTTGACTGGGCCAACCGAAGGACCTCGTACAGGCGCGGCGTGTCGCGCATGTCGTATGGAACAACATATCTTTCTCCTCGTTTGCCATGCTCGAACACTTCACCAATGTTGATGTATTCTGTCGTCCTATTCGTGGTCAAAGCAGTGTAAATTGCTGTATCGGCAGCCGCGGTGGCCTTGTCCACAGCGCTCCTCGCACACGTCACCATAGTATCGATGGCGTTATCGTGCAGCCTCCACATAGGAGACTTCATCAGCTCCGGAAGTGCCAGAACTCGGAAGATACGGCTACCAAAAGCCGTCTGGCGCATCATCCATGCAATCGCAGCCTTGGCGGGGCCACTGCGATGCGCTTGGGAAAGTTTATTTGTGAATTCGGCACCCGTGCGGACGGCTTCGGCATATTCGTAAAGAGAAGGCAAAATACGATCGAATTTGGGAACCGTATCTTGTTGGCAATCCTCGTACTTCATGGCGGATATTGTGTAGCCTGCGGAAGCCATCGCCAAGCCGATTTCGGCCGCAGCATCTGCCAAAGCGTTCCTGACCCGGCCAGTTCGGATTTCCAGGTCCATACAACTCTTTTTGAGCAGTTGGCTTGTCCACCTCATTGCTTCCTCAAGTTCATTGACGGCCTCTTCGTACGTGGTGGGACTGGCAGGAGGTTGTGGCATATGTGTTGTCACTTCTCGTTGAAGCAGCGGTTTTTCAATATTAGTCAACTGTAGACTGCCTTTCCATCGTGTCGGAGCTTGCAATAGACTGGTTTTCCATCGTATATGAAGCGTGTTGCTGGATTCCTATGCGGTGCAGGGTGGTGTAAGGAGGACTGCAGTATTTGTTGAGAAAACGGTGTTCAGAGTCGAAAGTAGTGAAGCAGAGAAAGCATACACGAGCAATGTTGATTCAAGAGTCGACTTACTTATTTTGAAATACAAAGGTTTCAATAGTTTTACATCGCGGTGGCAAATCGTACCATTCACGTGTCCCTGCTGCCATAAGGACCAGGTCGAGTGCAATGGTTACATAGTAAGCATCTCTGGTGAACCCGTCAATTCGTGTAAAATGTACAATTCACATACAATCTGAATGAGTAACATCTGGCTCAAAACTGAAGAGGAAGGGGATATTGTAGGTTAATAACGTAAGCAGCGTCGATTACCCAAGGGTGCCCTTCCCCTTCTAACCCCGTGACCACCTACCTCCAATTTCACCAAGTCGACAGCAAAACATGAATGCTGCTAGAACCTAAAATGGAAAGACCAATACCCTCTATCGCTCCTTCCTACTCCATCGAAAATATAAGAAAACATGAATGTTGTCAAGTCACAAAATACACGGAGCAACTCCCTCTTCCAAAATTATGTTTTGCAAACACTCAACAACAATCACATCCAACACGATCAAAACCATGACCAAATCCAACATCTCAACGCGAAAGCACGCATCGCGGCGTGCAACTAGATGCGCTTCTTGGAAGAGAAGTATGCGGAGCCGTCGTCTCGACAGGTTTACATATCGGCGCCGCACTGCGGAAATCGGGTCTCACAAGATAAAGCAGAGTAAGATTGACCTTGATCCCGCTGTCGGGATCAGCCACGATACCAGTCCCAACCGACCCAGTGTGGAAATTACGGCTAATCGTGATGTTTTAGGATCCTCCGCACGGGCGCTGGCCGGCAATATTGGCAGCGGGATACTCAAAGCAGCATCCGGAATCGGGGCATCCATTTCCCTAACTCAACTGGCCCCAACTGCGGCGGCACCGCCTATTGATGCGTGCGACGCAGATGCTCCCACATCATTGAGCGCTACCTCTGAGCGGGCTGTTATAGAGGGAGCGACCGGTACATGGTTGAGTGCCGTTGCCGACTCGGTCAGTGCTGTGCTGGCAGCCCTGACCAGTACAAGGGATACAAAGCGCATTGAGGAGCACGCAGATATCTGTCGGGTAAATGACATGTCCTTGGAGATAACGTCGATGATCAACGACGTTGTCAAAGCTTCCCCTGGCAGTACGGAGAGCGGCCGTGGAATTGCCGAAGCGGTATTCCAATTCGCGAAGACATTCAGTGAAACTATGTCTGAAACTGCAGCCAAAGCTGAAAATTCAGACGACGGCACCACATTTGTCAATATGGTACGAGAAGCACGAGTGAACTTCAACGCCGCATATGGCCGACTTGAAGCCGCGCTCAAAGTCAAACCCGAGTGTCGCAGGCAGCCGTCGCCTGTCACCTGTTAACAGGTGGCAACGCTACGGACAAACATCGAATCGAAGTGTTAATCCACTCCGCTCCCACCAAAACCATTGTTGTTATTATTGGTTGCATCGCCACGACTGAAGAAGCCGCTGCCTTCTTCGAAGCCGGAAAGAAGACATTCACCAAAGAGATTCTACGCAGATACATCGAAGCCTGCGCCATTTGTCGAACGGGATTAACAAATGAACGTCTCAATGTCGGCAGTCTCAGAGGAATAATTCTCTACCTTTGTGGTGCTGCCACAGACTGTGGTAATCCAGTGCTAAAAGATGTCTTGCAGGATGCCCTAGAGTTCATCTACGGCACTCTGCTCAACAAAGGCTTGGTCCATAATGAAAGAAAAGCAAAATGGACTCCTATCAACTATGATATAACCGTCTTTCTTCGCAGCTTGGTCGACAGGGAGTTCATATGCCAACTGCCGGACACCAGAGATGCATTGTTGATGATCCTCTTCATCAATCTACAGATTGACTGTGGAGCTCGACCGAGTGGCTTAGCCATGACATAGAAAATGCAAGAGAGCAACCATAAGGCTACGCCGAGGAGCAGCGTAAGCGTCGCGTGTAATCCGGCCAAGTGGACAACTAGTGACGCATGGGCACCGCCCGATTTTGGGCTTTTGGCTACGGCCTTGAGACGGTTGTATTTGGCGTTGAAGGACGTATTATTTTATTGGCCATCAGCAGAATGGCTGTTCCTTGGGAGACCGAAAGAAAGTGAGAAAAAGTGTATTGCTTGTTCTAAACTTATATCCATTCGGACGGGCTAAGAAAATGTATGTAGTTTACGCCTTATCCATCTGCAATTTTCATCGTCGTCATCGGCTTGGCTAGTGGTCCATTCTTATGGTTGTTGTGGATGCCATTACTCATGGCGACAAACATTGTTCGCTCTGTAGTTGACTACACTTTGTCATAATGAGGATGAGCGGAACCTCAAACTTGGTCAAAAATGTCAATTTTATTATTATTTTTAAAATGCCAAAAAATTTCAAAATTCCTTCCTCTCCCCCCTTCCTCCACCACCTCACCACCCTCCCCCTACTCCTCCATCACCAACTCTCCACCGTCCCCCTACTCCTCTTCCCGCTTCACCTCCCCCTCCTCCACCACCTCTACCAACTGTTTTTCTTCCTCCTCCTTCTGGACAGGGCAGTTGAACTTGCGTCGGGCCAGTCGACGCTGTTTGTTTTTGACCCGGCGCCGATGTCTCGCCGTCTTCGATTTCATTTGTCAATAAAACGTTAGATGCGATAACTAAATCAATCACGTAGAAACTAACTCTCATTGCTGCGGCGAGACATCGGCGCCTGGGTAGCAGCCGGGCCAGCGGCGGCAGGGACGGGCGCGGCTGCGCGGGGAAGATGGCGGCGCGCGGCACGTGGTGGTGGTGGGGCGTGCGGCGGCGGCGGGCAGCGCGGCGGCAGTAGGGATGCGCGGCGGTGACAGGGAGGTGCGCGGCGGCAGTAGCGAGGCGTGGCGGTGGTTTGGAAGCGCGACGGTGGTGTTGATTGTGGTGGTGGTGGTCTTTCTTTTCAAAAAGCCAAAATCCAAAAAGTTCCCCATGCTCTAATTTCCTGCGTCGTCCTCTTCCTCTTCCTCGTCCACATTGTCCTGCCCCTTCCCTCCCCACCACGCGCTGCTTGCGGCGCAGATTGTACTTGGCCCGGCGCCGTTGCATCGCCGCCTGCGATTCAATTGTCAAAAAAAGTCAAAGGCGATAACAGAAACAACTATGTGGAAGAATAACTCACTTTGCTGCGGCAATGCGATGCGACGGCGCCCGGGCTCCTGCGCGGGACACGGCGGGGCCAGCGGCGACAAGGGCGGGTGCAGCGGCGGCCGGAGGGCCGGCGGGAGAGGCGATGGCGGCCGGGGAGGCCGGGGGATGTGCGGGGGTGGCCGGGGGGGCGGCGGGAAGCGCGAGGGGGGCCGACGGCACGTTGGTGGTGGTGGTGACGGCGATGGTGGTGGTGATGGTGGTGGTGATGGTGGTGTTGGCGGCGTTGTCGGCCGCGGCGACGGTGACTGTCACCGTGACAGTCATTGTGGTGTCTTCTATGTTAGTATAAAATATGCTTTGCTTCACTGTTTGGTTGGGTGTGTCTTACGTTGGTGCTGTCGTTGTTGCTGTTGTTGCTACTGCTGCTGCTGCTGCTGCTGTTTGAAGGTTGGAGAAAGGGAAAGAAGTTCTCGACATCTCGAAATCAGACGAGATAGAACACTATATATGTAAGTCTTGAGACGAACGCCTGCTGTATACCGTTCAAAAGGACGTTAACCCTGCACAGCTGTCTCCATCGTATTCACTGTATAACAGTATGATCTTTAAGGCCTTTCTTATTTACACTACAAGGGCCATTTAATATGTCAATTGGTCAATATTGCTACGTGCGATGCAGGCTGCAAGTGTAAGTGACTGGAAGGCCTAGCCAATCCACTGGCGCCTATTGAGCGAATAAGACCTTACCATTGTCCTTTTAGCGCGTGGCGGCATCTGCCTAAGTGGGATGGACAGCTCACTGGTAGGAATTGCTCAATGGGGTGAATGGAGAACCTCATCCATGTAAATCGGACAGGTGGCAATGATAGAGAAGTTCAAAATAGGTTCGAGGCCGGATGGTGAGCTTTGTTCCTGAGCTTGCAGGTCTTGCAACAGAAGCAGCCATGGGGTATAGGAAATGGCAATGCTACTGCTCCCCACTCACTCTTGGTACGATGCGCCTATCGAGCGCTTCTATGGGCTTCAAACCCCGTAGGACTAGTCAATCACAGTCTGGTGGTGCAACGGCCTTTCGCTGGTGACTTTTACAGGACGATGCAAACTTGTGTACAAATCGCTGGCCAGCACACAGGGCAAAGAGCATTGAGGCATAGACAGATTTCGTTGTGGTGTATTATGTGTGCACCAGGATCGTGGGTATACTAAATGGCCTTGCTGTGGCCTCTCCGGCATAATAGAGACCGCCCTGGCTCGCTTTGATGTACTAATGGCGCGTTTCCAGTGGCCGATGTATGCTTTTCTTTGTATAATGGGACTGGAGCCTACAAACAATACATTTTCTCTCGGACGGTTGCGGGACCTGTCGTTATGGAAGTTGCTTCGCATTTCATACTTCGTTGGTCACGGGCAATCCCCGCAGACAAACAATTGACGCGCCGGGCAGCGATTTGGGAGGTCCGAATATGAGGCCACAAATTCCAGCAGCTCCTTGGACAAAACCTAGGAAATGTGAACTAGAACTCGCCGGCATCGTCACCGCAGCGGCACCACTGACATCAGGCGTCGCTCGAAGACGTACTGGATCTTGCTTCCACCGCACAAGACCCGCTTGGACCAGCGGAGCACGCCACAGCGCGGCGAACATGTTTCCGCGTCGTCGAGCACTTTGAAGCCGCAGACCCCCTTCCGCAGCATCGCGCGTGCCGAGAGAGCCACATCGTACAGCCAGCCACTGCTGGTCCGGCACAAGTACGAATACGCGCTTTCGGATGAGTCGCGCGACATCTTTTTGCGTGCTTGTTTCGCGTCGATCGAGCTCGATCTCACCGGTGCATCCTGAGCTTAATTTTGCGGTGCTCACGCCTCGCTTTAACGGCTTTGCAGACTATCTCAACAACAACTTCTTAAGGGGAAGGGGGAGGGGAGGGAGAAGGAGGAGGTGAGGGGAAAGGAGATGGAGGTGATGGTGATGGTGGCTGGGAGGGAGTGTGGAATATCTAAGCTCGACTCGAAACTGTTTTGATACCCTGGGACGCGTACGTAAAACAAATAGACTCTCAGCTCACAGTTATTGGACTATCAAAGCGTTCAAAACTCTCTGACTCGTACGACAAGACCGCACATCCGGGAACCCGTGTTGTATGAGACGTAAGTGCAGCGGCAGACCCATGCTGACGTGTTTACCGGTGGTCTTTGTCCTATTTACGACAAGACGTAAAACAAAAGCAATTTGGTGAAGACGGTAGAGACTTAACAAGACACATACTCGGTAGATCAACTGCAGTTGAAGGAGGGTGAACCTCAACCTACTAAGATCATACTATCTCCAGGAGGTGCGTAGGTTAACTACACATTCTCTTGAAAAAAAAATGAGACCGCTATGCCACGGTCTGTTAGGAAACAGACCGTTTGCGGCGGTCTCAAGAAAAAAAAAAAAACGACCACTATGCAATAGTCTATTGTAAAACAGACCATTTGCCGTGGTCATTAAAAAAAAAAAACATTCTGCCACGATCAGCTTCCGCGTGGTGGACCTAAAACGATCACGATTAGCCATAATTCCATATTAGGGGGGTGGGAACGTTATCGTGGTTGATCCCGAAAGCGGGATTAAATCTCTTGCGAGATCCGACTCCCGCAGTACGCCGCCGAGAATAAAACTTGTCCGGCTGACGGTTCCGCCGGCTTCGCTTCCAAGAAGCGTAATCGCGCGCTGCGATTCGTGCTTTCGATTCGTTGCAACTGTTGGATTGACGATGTATGAGCCGTGTGTTTACCAAGACTGCTTTGTAGAAGGGAGGCTGCCCCGTGTGTTTTTGTATTTAATGACATTCTTGTTTTCATAAAGTTGCCGGGATAGGAAGTAGTGGTAGAGCGCATTGCTCCTTCCATTATCATGAGATTCTTAACAAATTCCTAACAACAATCATATTTTGGTATACTTTTTGCAGAATAGGAAGCAGGTGCCGTACATTGTACTTTCCACTACCGGGCGGTTCGTAAACACGGCAAGAGCGCCGTTGCTTGTTGCCAGTTACCAGCATTTGGGCTGTCCGTCACGTGGACGCTCTTCGTCACCGCGCAACGCACCATTGATCCGCCGTCGCCGCGTCACCCTGCTGTGCACCGCGCCGTCGCCGACATCTTGCACCTGTCGGGTGTTGATGACTCGCTGGACGGGCAATGCTGTGTACTAATGCTCCCATACACTCAACGGACATTCTAGCAAATGTGTCTTGGGCCCGTACTGGCCAAGGCCTGTAAAAAATCCGCAACATGTCTCGGCCACATGGTCTCGTGCCGGAATTCCAGTTCAAGCCTTCCTAAACGATGTTCTTTTGTTACTGCGCCGTGAATATATACCTACTCGGCTAGGACTGCCAGGCAGGTGGAATTAAAGACAACTTTGTTTTGCTGTATTAGTTTATCCGACATTGATATTCACGGAAATAAACAGTCGATAACGTTTAACTTGGACCAGTAAAAGCATATTCGAAACAAGGTGGTTTTCCCAAAGCTGCCTCCTCCCTCATATTCCCATTTCAAACTTCGCCCTTTTCCGTTGACGTCGGTTGGGCATTGGACAGTTGTACACTGGTGACAAGTATTTACATGGCTGCGCCACGACTTCCAATCTCCACATTAAGGCCAAACATCACGGCCAAACATTCTGACCCTTACAGGTACACAATGGCCACCGAGCTGTAGGGCACGGGAATCAGGGCACTACCGCCCTTGACAGGCACTTTGATCGTCGTCGCGGCCACATTCTTGACCTCGGTGCCCTGGCTCGCAAACGTCCACTGGCTGCCACCAAACGTGGTGTCTGTCGAGTTTTGGCCGGCGCCACCGGGGTTGGTGAGGTACTTGACCGTGACCGTCTTGACCGAGGGCGACAGGCCGTCGAGGGTGACCACGGGCTCTGGGCGCGTCGTGCCGACCGACAGGTCCCAGTAGTTGAGGTTGCAGAGGGCGACGCGCTTGGCAATGTTGTGCTCGTAGGCGACGTACGACGAGAAGGTCGTGCCGTCGTTGTTGCCCGGCGCCAGCTCGGCCACCTTGGTGCGGCCGCCCGTGCCGATGAACTCGGCGGCCACGAGGATGGCGTAGTACGTGTTCTTAGTCTGGGCGGGCGTGGACCCGTAGTCGCTGGGCTGCCAGACGTTCTGGACCGAGCCGTAGACCTGCTCCCAGTTGACGGCGGCCACGCCCAGGGACATGAGGTGCATCATGAAGTCGGTGCCGTACAAGGCCGTGGCAAACGACGCCGAAAAGGACGCATTGGACGTGCCGCCCGTCTGCACATTGATCTCGTCCAGATAGAACGGCACCCGGCCGCCCTTGTACGACTGGAAGAACTCGTTCATCGGCTTGATGTGCTTGGCCGTGTCGGCCACCGTGCTGGCGTGCGACAGGAGGTCCGGCAGCGTGCACGAGCCGCTCAGGCAGCGGTACCAGTGGTCAGTGGCGTAGGCGAGGTTGTTGGTGTCGTCGAAGCTCGTGTTGGCAAAAATGTCGGCCGCGTCCCAGGGGATGTATCCGTTGGTCTCGCTGCCCACGTCCGGGCCGGCAAACCCGACACTCGGCGGCAGGCCGGCCGCCTTGGTGATGTTGGCGGCGATCGCCTGAAACCGGTCCGCAAATTCTTGGGCCGTGGCTGCCGGCGGGTCGCCGCCGCTGTAAAAGTTGGGCTCGTTGCCAATCTCAATGGCCGCCAGGTTGTCGGCGCCAATGCCCGACAGGATCGACTTGGCGGCCTCGTTGGCCTGCGTGTAGTCGTGCTCCGTGTACGAGATGGAGGGCATCCAGCGAACCTTGGCTGGCGCCAGCAGCTGCGTCAGCGCCCAGAACGAGGGGCCAATGGTGAGGTCGCCCGTCTGCGTGGTGCTCGGCGCGGGGACCACCGGCACGGTCTGCGAGCTGTTCCACTTCACGCGGTCACCGGTGATGCCGCCGACGCGGACAATGGGCCGGCCGCCGGTGCGCTTGGCGACTTCGGAAATCAGGTTGATCGAGAACTGGTTGGCCGAGGGGTCAGTTTGGCTGGCTATGTAACGACTATGTTAGTGGATGTCTGTGCTGTATAGCTTGAACTATTTCTGATGCACTCACTCTGGCAGTACAGCGAAAAGGTGTTGAGCTCGAAGCTGACACCCGGAAAAGACGGGTTGACCGTGAACAGCCCTTGGGGCTGAGTGTGCGGCAGGGTGACCGTCGTGGCACCGGCCCGAGCGGCAAGCTTGTCGAGGCGCATAGTGACGTTGTTGGAGAAGAGACAACAAAGACGGTAATGATCAATTGAATAAAGCAGGCAAGGCTTGTCAGATCGTCTTTAGTAGACGCTCGATTTTCTCAAAAAATGACAGGCAAAGTCCCTTCCAATTGATGCTTATATATACTTGTCGCCTAAGCCTTTTCTAAATCATCACGGAAACAACAAATACACCTTTCTTCATGGATTCTCCGCATTGCACCAGGAGCTCAACAATCAACATGTACAACCCCCGATGACCTTGGGGATGATGTCGATCCCGCGCCGAAACGGGGACGGGCCCGCAGTTTCTTACAAATGAGGCAATCCATGCGTCGAGCGAGTGCATAACCGATGGATGACAGACTGTGGCCTAAAGTAACGGCTATGGGCAACCGTCAGCCAAAAAAACGAACGCTTTCTTGTCTCCGTCAAGGGCAAGGATGCGAAAACATTGCCCGGCATGCACGTCAAGTGTTTCTTTGGATACGACAATTGGCGCAGCTACTCCGCATATTCAAAATGTGTAGGAAAAGCCAAAGACGGTTTGGACAGGCAAATTCAAGCTCCGAAATATACGACGGCTCACAAACTCTCAGCCGCCTTGATTGTGGACTGGCTATCCTTTGCTTTCGAGGAAAATGCAGCCAGGATTTCACAGTGTTCCGTGGTATTATTACGTACAGTACACTTCCTTAATCCTGACAACGGTTTCCCATTTTTTGTTCGTCCTCCGCATACCGGTCCTTTTCCCATGATGACGACCCCTGGGCCTTTTTGTCAGTCTCCACTTCCCCGCGCGTGGCCCCAATGTCTTAGCGTCGGCCGTTCTCAGGAAACATGGGGTAGCAGTGGGTGAGCACATCCTGTGCCCTGTGGTAGACCCATTTCTTTTTGCTTTCGGCAAGTCGGCTCATTAGGGGCGGCCCAATATGCCTGCCGAAGTCCGAAGGTTAATATACCACGACCAAAATCATGACTCGCCAAGGTCGTCTCAAGGATGAGGCGCCACCATCGGGAAGTCACCGCCCGTCGAACTCCCATCGACGCTCGCTCCAGCAGCAGCGGCGGCGGTAGCAGGGGCGGTGGGAAAAAAGGCCCATGCATCTTGCTCGCGGAACGCCGGGGGCATGGCAAAGTCAAAAAGGTTGTGGAACGCCGCGTCAAACTGCGGATAAGTGCCCGGGCTCTCAAAGTTGGCGAAACCTTCCAAGGAGTCTAGCCCTTCCAAGCCGCCACCACTCGAACTAGCAGACCAGCTGTCCGCGGCGGCCAACTGCGTCTCAAAGTCGAGGGCGGGCGCCACGCCGGCGGTTGCCAAAGGGATGTTGGCGTACTGCCAGTCGGGCGCTGGCACGGCCGTCGTCGTCTGCAGGCCATTTGGACCATCCACGTTCGTCTGTGTGTAGTGGTTCGGCCCCGGTTGTCTTTCCCCCGCTCTCAGACCCAACAGTCGCAGCAGCCGTCGTGCCAGCTTTGCTACGGCCGCCACGCTCGTCCACAGCCGTGCCAGCCCGTCCAAGGCCTCGCAGCAGCGGGCCAAGTCACGACGTGACGTGACGGCATCGCGTTGCTTGTCACGCAGGGCGCGGTAGACCACGGTGGTGGCCATGGAGAGAGCATATGGAATGAGCGGCAAGGGGGGGAGATGGGTGTGCTGGCCATCTGTGATGAGAGACAGGGCCCGAACGGCGGCGTCGAGGCGGCGTTGGTATGGGGCGGTGGCGGGTCCGCTATATCGGCAAGACAGCATTGCGGCGACGCAGTACCAGATTTCGAGATAGTCTAAAGATGTCAGTACATGTGGTTTCTGTTGTGAATGTGTGCCAGCGCTATCACGACTTACCCCGATGCGACTGGTGAAAATGGTCTAGTCGGACACCTGCACCCGACGTAACTGTTGCAAACGTCGGGAACTCCTGGCAGTCGTCGACGGTCGCTTTCGACGAGGCCTTGAATATTGTAGTCGCCGTCGCGAGAAGGTCGCCTAGTGCTGTCGCAAGGGCCATGACCTGTGCTCGATAGTTGCTGCTGTTGCCTATCGCAGTAATGCGCGGCAGTCCGACGTCCGAGTCATTGATCAGAAAGGGCGCCGCCGCCATGATCGGTTTGCTCAGCCGGTCGAGGTTTCGCAGCGACCACCACAGGTAGTCGGTCGAAGTTGTTCCCTGATCGGGAATTGTTGGCAACCGCCAGTGAATTGACAGCGACCATGCCTCGCACACAGCCTGCGCGAGACAGCTTGCCGCTCGTCGAGTGCCGGTCGTACCGTCGTTGTGAAGGTGCATCAGTGCCAGGATCTGCACCTTGGTGATCCTGTCAGGTTCGAGGTCAGCCTTGATGGCTGCGTCGAGGCCCGTAAGCAGTCGAGCTGCGAAATCAAGCGGTGCCAATGCAGGACCGTTGTCACTCAGCCGCAAGAATGGAGCAGCCTGGCTTGTCTTGCAGGCCACGAGGCACATGGCCCGCACCAAGTAGATGGACGTGTGGCCATTGCTGTGCCCTCGAAAGACACTGGCACCGTCCACGATGGGCAGCAGGTCGTCGAGCAGAGACACGTAGATGGAGAGCAGGGCATCGGCCGTGGCCTTGGGCAGCTCAAGCAGCGCACCCACATCTTCGAGGTAGCGACGATGCGGCTCTGTCAGAACAACAGGCGCATTTCTTGGCCGATATTTGTGATAGAACCACGCAAGCTGTCTCTGTGCACGTTTCGCGTCCGATTGTCGCCGTCGTTTGGAAGGCGGCTGGGCAACCGCTCTTGGCGGTGTCTGCTTGGCGGATGACGGGGGTGTCTCCGTGGTCTCTTCGTCGCCCTCCTCGTCGCCCGATCCGTCCGTCTCTTGGCCGTCCGACAAGTCGGCCAGTGCAATTTCTGGAATGTAGTCAATGGCACGCGGCTTGGGACTGGATTCTCGCGTGTCCGTGCCGCCGGTGCCTGCGCCATTGCCAGGACCGTTACCAGATGGAGGCGGCTCAGCGGCGGCTGGCGGTACTTTGTCCAACACGCTGATGCCTCGGTCCGTCTTTTCGATGACGCGTTGCTCTGCCTTGCTATTTTGTTTGTTGTCGGCGGCAGCAGCGCGTTCTGGCTTGCTGTCGGCCGCGGTGTGGAAGCATCTCTTTTTGCGTACCCGACAGGCCGGGCAGGGTAAGAGCGGCCACAGAAAATGTTAGCAGTGGGTCTCACTGCCAGGAACAGAAAGAGGCACTGGGTCCAGAATGGGAAGGAACAGAGGGAGACTCATCTTGCGAGCTTCTCTTGCGCGTGGCTGTCTCCGACGCCTGCCACACAATTTCCATATTTTTTTTTTCTTATCTTGTCGTCAGATAGCAATATGCTGGTCGTTCTGGTATCGCTCCGTCACCTCGTCGTTCGTGTAAGTGAGAGCCGCCCAAGACATCTTCATTTGGGGCGGCAAAGCGGTTATGTACTGATTATGTGCAGTGCCTTCCCAATCCGACGTACCCCGGCGCTCCACTTCCACGACTACTCCCGCAAACCGTTTTGGGGATGGACGATGGAGCGCTCTTTCTCTGCCCTGCCATGCCATGTCACCCCTGAATTATTGGGGATCCCTGTTCGCCATTTCGCAACTTGCTCTCTCACTAGTCTTAGCTGTGTCTGCACGCCTGCACGAGACTACTTTTGGTCCGACCCTCATTCGGACATACCGCCGTTCGGTCGTGTAAGACAACTGCTCATCTGCGGGGAACGAACCGCGCTTGACCCGATTCGTAGCGGCCTCTAACCTCTCCTGCAGGACAACGTCACTCTATCGACGCGATGAGAGGTGGAAATCAAACATCGCGATGCGCGAAGGAGGGCAAGGGCACGCGGTTATTTGGTCGCGCTGCCGGTCGAGCTGTCGGCAGCTGACATGGTGGGCCACTATGGGGCAGTCTGGACATCGAGGGGCCGGCTTGGGCCCGTTGAGGGGCCGATGGGCGGTGCATCTATGCCCGATGACGGAGATTCGTGTGAAGACGGAGTCTCTCGATGTAGTATATTAGACGGTCATGAGAAGAAGCAAGACGGCAAACTTTGCATCAACACACCTCTGTCATAAACAACAAACATTCTCACGGATCCAGACTAGTTTGCATCGTCACGACTCGACAACCGTCACAAGCTCCAACACCACTTGTTCTTCCCCTCTCAGCCATTTCCCCTCCATCACGATGGGTTCTGTCCCCAAGGTCAAGCGCTATGTGCTTGTTGGCACGGGCGTCCGCTCTGCCTTCTACTACGAGAGCATCCTGCGCGACTTCAAGGAATCGGCCAAACTGTGTGCCATCTGCGACACCAACACCACGCGCATGAACGCCATCAACGACCACATCGAGGAGATCAGCGGCGAGCGCGTCCCGACCTACAAGGCCGAGGACTTTGACAAGATGGTCAAGGAGCAGGAGGCCGATGTCGTCATTGTCACCACCATTGACCGCGTCCACCACATCTACTGCATCCGCGCCATGGAGCTGGGCTGCGACGCCATCACGGAGAAGCCCATGACCATTGACGCCCAGAAGCTGCAGCTCATGATTGATGCCGAGAAGCGTACAGGCAAGCACGTCCGCGTGCTGTTCAACTACCGCTACGCGCCGCACCACACCAAGGTGCGCGAGCTCATTGCCTCGGGCGTCATTGGCGAGGTCTCGACCGTACACATGGACTGGATCCTGGACTGCGCGCACGGCTCCGACTTTATGCGCCGCTGGCACCGCGACAAGGCCAACAGCGGCGGCATCCAGATGCACAAGTCCATCCACCACTTTGACCTGGTGCACTTTTGGCTCGGCACGGAGCCCGAGACGGTCTACTGCGTGGGTGGCCTGCGCTTCTACGGCAAGGAGAACGCCGAGGCCCGTGGCGTCGCCAACCTGGGCGAGCGCTACCTCAACAATGAGGCCGCCAAGGAGGATCCCTTTGCCTTTGACATTGGTGCCAGCCCCCGCCTCAAGAAGCTGTACCTGGACGCCGAGCACGAGGACGGCTACATTCGCGACCGCAACTGCTTCGCCGAGGGCATCACCATCGAGGATACGCTGTCCATGATTGTTACCTACAAGAACCGCGCCACTATGACGTACAACACGTATGCATTTGCTCCGTGGGAGGGCTACCGGTGTGTCTTCAACGGCACCAAGGGCCGCTTGGAGATTAACGTCTTTGAGACGGGCTACTCGGCCGCCGGCGATCCGATTGCCAGCAAGGTCATTGAGCAGCAGCGTGACTACGTGCAGGGCGGTGTCGAAGAGACCAAGATTATCGTCTACCCGCTCTTCGCAGAGCCGTACACGGTCGACGTTGTCAAGGCCGAGGGTGGCCACGGTGGTGGCGACCCAGTACTGCTACGCGATGTCCTCGTTGGCGACAAGGAGGACGAGTTCAAGCGCGCCGCATTTATCCGCGATGGTGGCAATGCGGTGCTCGTCGGTGTGGGTGCGAACATCTCCATGGAGAGCGGCGCCCCCGTCAAGATCCAAGAACTTGTCAAGTGGTAGGCGTTCACAGGAGCACCAGTATAAGAGCGAGACGTCTCCAACACATGAAAAAAAGAAAAAAACAAACATGGCATTTAGAATAGACTGGATAACCAGGTTTGGATATCAAGGTATCATAATGGAACGGAAGTGGCTTCAGAGAACAGACAGACATGAATGCTACCACTGAAACTGAATCACTCCCATGTCTATGATAATCCTTGTAAAAATATATCACTTCAGTATTGGACTTTTCGATCCAACTACCGAGATACTTAAGATTTGCGGTGGTGTGCACCATCGGAGGTTAGGCTAATATGAAGCTTCTCTCATCAACGACATATATATGCCCAATTGGGTAATTTCATCTATGCACTCTAATTTTGTGCCGCTACATACTGTCGCGTGAAGGGAACGTTCCTTGGTGGGAGCAGTCAAGTAAGTGTGTGACGCCGCAGGGGCAGCAATGTCCAGATATAAAAAAGAGTCTGAAGCCACTGGTCCTTGTCTGTACTTTGTTCGCTGACTATCACAGCATTTTTATCACAGCCTCACGTCATTTTTAGCTAACAACATGAAGCCACTCTCTGCTCTATTATTCTTGGCGGCAACCGCCCAAGCTCATTGTACAGTCACCGTCATACGGGCTCACATCACAATGCAACGGCAATTCGACTAACACGCTCTTTGTTTAGACCGCTTCTCCAAGCTCATCGTCGACGGCGTTGCCGAGGCCAAGGAGTGGACCACCATCCGCCAAACCAAAAACTACCAAGACGACCACGGCGTCACGGATGTCAGCAGCACCGACATCCGCTGTTTTCAGATGAGAACGGGTACCGGCTTTGCCACGGTGGCCGCCGGCGGCAACCTCGGCTTCATCGCTGACCAGACCGTCTCGCACCCGGGCCCAGTGCAGTTTTACATGGCGCGTGTGCCCGAGGGCCGTGACCTCAATACATGGGAGGCGGCCGGCAACGTCTGGTTCAAGGTGGCCAGCATCGGCGCCGCGGCGGGCACGACTGGCAAAGCACTGGTCTGGCCGACGTACCACGCACGGTCTGTCAACTTCACGGTGCCAACAACGCTGCCCAGTGGCAACTACCTGGTGCGCGTCGAGAGCATCGCCCTGCACCAGGCACAGTCGGCCGGAGGGGCCCAATTTTATCTAGCATGCGCGCAGGTCAAAGTGACGGGCGGCGGATCGGGCACGCCATCACCACTGGTGGCCTTCCCAGGCGTGTACCGATCAGGCGAAGCAGGACTGCTGTTTGCCAACTATCCGGTGCCGACAAGCTACACGCCGCCAGGCCCTGCTGTGTGGCGCCGACGGTGTAGGAGGCGGGGGCGCGGATGAGATTAGATGGTCAACGCTTTGATGATCAGACTTTCTTATGGCGCGGATCATTCGTTGCGGAATATCGTGCACATACATACGTCATTAAATGTGTTCAAATGAAATCATAGCTCAAAGTAATTGTGATTGATAACTTTTTAATACCTTATCAATGAAAATATTTTTAAAACAAAATAAAATTCTTATTTATAACCTGCAAAATTAAATAAAACGTGAATGACATGTATCGTCTCAGCCTTATGCGATAATCCTATCTCAGCCACTGCCCCGCACAGAGAAACGTAAACAGATCGCGTTCACAGCTGCATCACAACAACACTGCGACGCTGCGGGCAAATGGGTCTGCCGAAAGCTCCCGTCATGCGCCCCCGCGCAGCAATTGGTTGGCACAAAAGGTTTCCGTCAGGGCATCGGACAGCCTGCAAGAAACGCATGAACTTGCCGTTGCTTAAGGAAGGCGCATACACAGAGTGTGAGGCGCCGATGTTGACAGGCCATCCTTGGCAGCTGCTGACTCACGACCACGACAACCACTAACCCGTCTGGCATTAACACGCTGTGTCCACTACCAACGTGCTGAATTGTGGAGGTGGAGCCCTGTTTGACACATATTGCGTAGCAAACATGAGGGGAAGCTGCCCCGCGTAGCGCACGCCCTCCACCAAACAACGAAACATCGATGCCAAGGAATGCACACGCCAGCGGCATAATTGTGTGTGTCCCACGTTCCGAAAATGGCCGAAGACAAAGAACAAAGGTAACGCTTTTGACTGGCCCCAAGTATCGCACCTGCCTTCTCTCGAGAACGAGCGAGCAAGAATCGAACGAATCGAAATTTAAAAAAATCAAGATTGGGAAAGCCTTCAATCACACATAACACACACCTGCATGCGAAAGTGCTGCGCGCTTTTCACTATCTCTCGCGCCTTCGGTCTTGAACGTGCATGATCATTTTGTCTTATCACGCCACAAAATCGCAAAAGCGATTATTTTCCGTTTGCCGCGGCCTGCATCTGCGCCTGTGTCAGCACTCATTAAGCCGCTCCTTGCCTCGTTTCAACGGATATCAATCGACGGAACACAACGACTAGACGACGGCGATAGCGACGACCGAAACAACCCCAAGGACAGTCGACATCGTATTAATACCCTTCCCGACGCGCAGCGCGTTGTCAAGTGCGACCCACGACTATCCCACGACGCAGACTCTCCCCGCGGGCGTGGAGGGACGACGACAGTCTACTTTTCTCTACATCCCAATGTCCCAGCAAACACCCGCACCCGCCATGCCGTCTTCCCAACGTCCATTCTTCCTCTCGTCCTTTTTCGCTGCCTTCCGCCAGCAGCCCACCTCGGCGTCGTCGCTCTCTTCGTCTGCGGTCGTCGCCCAGCAGGCCGCCAGCAAACACACGGCGGCTGGCGGCAACGTTGGTTCTGGCAACAGCGGCACCCCGTCCGATATCGTAGCGGCGGTCTCGGCGGCCTCCTCCGCGACATCACCTGGCGCCTCGTCCTCATCCTCCTCCATAGCTGCGGCTGGCGGCACTGCCTCGGCGTCTACCTCGACGTCCCTGGCGACAGCCGCCGGCAGCACCACAACGCCCTCCGCCTCGAACACGCTGGCGGCATCGAATGGCTCCAGCACCAACTCGCGTTCGATCGCATCCTCCGCAGCGGCGGCGGCGGCTGCCGCCTTGACGGCCTCCCAACGCCTCCACTCATCCCGCTCGCCACACCACCACCACGCGCACCACCATCACCACCATCATCACCACCACCATGCACACAACAGCACGGGCACCTCGGCCGTCCCGATTCCGAACAGTGGCTCTGGTAGCCATCCACATCAACAACCACAACAAAACAGCGGCTCCAACCACGGCAGTTTCACTGACGAGCCGTACTATGCCAGCGGCTACTCGGGCTCCGGCACCAGAACCGGCACACCGATAGCCACGGCTACATCCACGTCCACGACCGTTGTGGCCGCCACGGGCCGCCGGCGCGGCAGCGACAGCAGCAGCGAAGGCTTCCGCGAGGTGCTGGGCGCGGACAAGTGGTACATTGGCGGGCGGACGGCGGCGGGCGAGGAGCGGTTCTTCAAGCTGGGCGTGGTGCGGCGGGTACGGAGCAACGACCGGCTGAGCCTGGACCGGTTAAGCTTATGAGCTGGACGGCGACAGCGTTGATTTTTATTTTGAATTTTGAAATTATGAAAGAAACGATAAACGACAAAAATACGGACAGATACGAGAGTCTGAGATAAGGGCCCGACGAGATCTCATTTTCCCTCATAGGCGTTTATTTTTGGCATCATCATTTGGACTTTGGACTTTGGATTTGGCTATGCACATTCGGTTTGGCTGCTTGACAAATTGGGCTTTATTTAGGCGTTTTTGGCGGCAATATCAACCCATTTCAAGGGGATTACTGCTCACAGATCACAGAGCTACGGGTCCTGTTATGCATTTTTAGTACACTGTTGTGCCAAACACTCGCTTCGTATGGTTTTGAATATGACTTGTAGAAAAGAAAACAGGGTATTGTGATTTGGCATGCTATTATCTTACAAGAATATTTAGTCGTGCTCCTCTCTCACCGGCTACCACATAAACCGCTCCAGACGGCCTTCATCGAGAAGACTGCCGTCCGGTCCCCGCCACACATACGGCCGGAACAAGAACACCCACATGGTGGCCACGTTGATCGCCACAAACCACGCCGTCTCGAGGAACAGCCGGGCGTCCACTTTGCCCAGGAGGGCGGCAAGGACAGTCTTCTTCTCGTTGCTCGCTGCTTTTGGTGTGGCCGCCGGCACAAGCAGCCGCCAAAACACCCACGGCAGAATAAAGTAGCGCGGCTCCACGAGCGGCGCCGTCACCAGCGACAGCGATGTGGCCAGCAGCCAGAGAAGGGCCGTCGATGTCGTGGGGCCTGTGCGCGACGCGGTGGCCGCGCCGTCCTCGTCCTCGTCCAAGAAACTCAAGAAGACGGCCGGCGGGCCCGTCTCCTGCATGGCAGCATCGGCGGCAGGCGCTTCGTGGTCCCCCTCCGTCCCGGTCTTCTTTCCCTTTTTTGACTTCTTGGCCTCCTTGGCCTTCTCCTTGCGCTGGCGCGCAGTCAGCTTCTTGTTGTCGACGGCGGACGACGTGGCGTTGTTGTCCTCCTCGCCCTCCTTGCCGTCCACGCCCTCCACGTCATCGTCCGAAATGATCGACTGGCCCGACGCAAAGGGCGAGCTAATGGACTCGCCCGCCGCGGCTTCGTCAAGGCTGCTGCGAGCAGCACCCAGGCCCAGCCACAGGATCCGCCAGCACGCCCAGCCGGTCAGCGCATACACCGGCACCAGCGCGTACCGCACGACGATGCTGCGGCGGATCGTGTAGCGGAAGACGTAGAACATGTAGTGGCGGTTGTCGGCGAGCGTAAAGGGGTGGATCAGGGTGTTGAAGTAGACGACGGCCACCATGGCGTCAAAGACGACCACGAGATAAACGGGGTAGTAGGCCTTGTTGACAAAGACGACGTGCAGCAGACGCAGCAGCTTGTGCGTGCTGGTCTTTTCATCGCCGTTGGGGAACGCGGCGTGAGACAGGGGTGGCGCCACCTCGGCCTCCTGGTCGCCCTTGTTGTCCTCGTCACCAATATGCTTGCCTCCCGCAACCGCCTTCCATGCCACAGACAGATAGTAGGCGGCATGTGTGACAAACAGCGGCGCTGAGAAAAAGGCCAGCAGCGGCCACAGGTAGAGCAGCTGCGCCGCATGAAGTGTGGCGACGTGATTGGCCTTGTCGCCCAGCACGACGCCGCCGTTCCACACGACAAACTGGCCAAAGCCCAGGACGACGGCGGCGTACGGCCACGCGCGCCGCAGCACCACCAGAGGGTTGCTGACGGCGGCGACCGCCACGCTCACCAGCGACAGCACCCAGTCGTCGGGCCACGCGTTGGCCAGGGACGGGTCGTGCACGTCGCCAAGCGAGTAGCGCCAAGCATACAGACGCACCATGCTGGCAAACGAGTCGAACGTCTGGGGCTGGGCGGCCCGCAGCGCGGCGCGGTGGGCCGGCTGGTCACGCACCGTTTTGGCGGCCTGCACAATCTCGAGGCCGCCGAGGTACACCACGACCCAAACGACATTGGTCTGGCGCATGACGAGGGCGGCGAAGCCGGCCACGACGGCCAGCAGGTCGCTCCAGGCGGGCACGTCCTCGTTGGCGGGCACGCTGACGCGGAACAGGTGCAGGCGGTAGGCGAGCAGCACGAACAAGGTCGAGTAGACGTCGGTGTAGTACAGCGCCGAGAAGAAGAAGAGGGCGGGGAAGAGGGCGACGTTGAGGCCGGTGTGGTAGGCAAACAGGGACAGCAAACTGGCGGTCGCCGCCGGCGTCGTCTTGCCTCCATGGCGGCGGCGGTGGCGGCTCTGGTGCTGCTGCTCGAGCGCCGAACGGCACGAGCTCGCGGCGACGGCCACCAGCATGATGGCGACGCTGTTGGCGCCGCGCAGGGCCCAGATGTGGCAGCCGTCCTGGACGCCGCTCCACATGGCCTCGAGGGCCACGGACACCAAGTACAGCCCCGGCGGCGTCGTGATCTTGTCGTCCCAGTCGTACCATTGCCGGGCGCAGTACTTTTGAGCCTGCGGCACGTGGAAGAACTCGTCGAGGTACGGCTCGGGCACAAGGGCCAGCACGCGCGCCAGCCAGGCCTTGGTGAACATGAACAGCAGCGACGCGCCGGCCATGAACAGCAGGGGGCGTCCCCGGCTGGCAGGCGGCTCTGCGGCGTCAGTGGGTGACGCCGATGTCTGGGCCGACGTTTCGGCCGGCGTTTCCGGTGACGCATTGGCGGCGTCCGTGGTCCCGTCGGTGCCCCATTCTTTGGCCGCTTTGGCAGCGGCTTGGAGCTTGGCCGCGCCCTCGGCCAGCGCATTGGTGTCAGCGACAGGCTTGCCGCGGCGCTGGCGGAAGCTCGTGCCTAGCACAAAGGCCTGCCACGCAAGCCATGGCACGACAAAGACGGCCGAGGCCAGGAAGGCTTTGAGCTTGGGATCGTCAATGGTCGTTGCGTTCGCGGCCACAAGGCCGGGCGCGTTGTCGGTCATCTTGGCATCAGTGTATCAGCGAGAGGATGCGGATATGTTAAAAAAAAATATCAAGGGAAAGAATGCCAAGAACCGAGTGACGGGGGTGGACTTTAAAAGGACACACGACACTTGAGAAAGCTGTGGGTTGTGTTTGATTTTTTAGGAGCTGGCTGAAGCTTAGGTGGATTTGCGCGGGCCGCGACGCGAATAAGAAGTAGTACTGGGCGCCACGTGTTTGCGCTTTGCGCAATGCCCCATACAAAGATGACAGAACCCCTTTCCACAACAAACAAATACGTACGCAGCTCGACGGCGACATCCGTTTTCTGAAAAGCTTGTTTATTCGTTAAAAGGGGGTTGAAATGAATGTCAGATGATTCATACACCACAAGATTTGAACATAGAAAAATGTCTATTATAAAGTTTCTACTTTCTCTGTACAGAACACCAAATCTACATCACATGCACTCTGGCCGCAGTTACCAATTGTGAGGCAACGCAGCCAGGGTCATGGTCTGGATCCCTCCACCCAATTAATGCATGCTATTTAGAAGGGCTGTATGCGGTTAGTAAAAAATAAGGGCCGTCCAGAGGGACATGTCTCAAAGCAGAGAGCGGAAAGCACGTACAGAGTCGGCGGGGTGCGTCGTCTTGACAAAGTAGGGGCCGATCAGAGGGATCTTCTGCTTGGATGTTAGCGACAGGTCATTGTCGTCTGTTCGTCAGCCCGTGTCTGTCGATGGAAGGCGGCGTACCTGGAGAATGTCTTTCTGTACCCGCGGGATGCCCGAGGCGTAGAAGAGCGCGGCGACACCGAGAGCACCGGCAATGGGGCCAGCAACGGAAGCACTGGTGCTTGTTAGTTGGTGTTCGGGACAAAAGAAATCAAATTGGAAGCAACCGCATCGCCTCCAACCGCAAACACCTCTGCACGGCTGCACTGGTCCTCCAACGTCGGGTTCGTCTCCTCTGGCTCCCCCATCCTCTCCGCCCACCATCGTCGCCGTCGCGTTGACGCAGATTGGGAATAAACTCACTAACGGAACACCGTCTTGACAGTGATACCCTTGTAGTTGGAGGAGTAGTGGTACCTGCGGATGTCGTTAGTTTTGTTGTTCAGGAAGAGCTCGCCGGTGCTGCCAATCCGAATATAGCCCCGTCTCGTCCCATTCCCTCCATCGGTCCGCACGTCCACTTCGAGTTGATCATTGGGCCATCAATTCGGTCAGAAGGGCGCGGCCGGTGGTACGTCGTAGGACGAGACACGGTTTCGATCGGAGCAAGTCGTTGGCTGGGCAGGAATAGACGACAGGAGATGCTGCTTACTTCGGGCCGTACTGGCTCCGGAAATCGGCACGCATGACGGGGGTCTGCATCAAGGATGTTAGCTTTTGTGTGTGGCGTTCAGTGTGGCCGCGGTCTCGGCATCTGGCAATGTTTCGTGCTGCGGTGGGCGTAAGGCAGAGGCGCTGGCTGAGATGCTGCAAGGCCGACGGTGCGTCCAGGGGGAAAGTCGAAGGGAAACATACAGCGAACGGCATTGTGACAGGATGTGTGGTCAAACCGTGGCGGGGAAGGTCAATTGGTGTCGGTGTCGTGGAGAGGTTGTGGGGGAATTGACGTCGTGATCGTACCGGCTGCGAGATTTTGGGTTTTTGCCCTTCTCGCTGTTGGCGGACAAAGCCGGGCAGTGGGAAACAGTGCAAACTTGCGGCCTGAGGCTTGATTTCTCGCAGTCAGCAGCCAATCACAGAGCTCAGTTTCAAAGCTTCAGAGTCAAAACGACTAGTCCAATTTTGGAACTGCCACAGAACATGTACCTGTATCTTTAAAGTGGGTCTCCGAATCACTGCGTGCAGGACCTCAACGCGCTGATTGAGCTCTCTCACACGCAAACCAAGCGTGCATCGTCAGGCTCGAGAACGCATCCAGTCGCCGGCTTTTGCATTCGTTGACGCACACTTTTGCCGCCGCAATGGACAAGTTCATCGACGTCCGCTTCGACCGAGTCGAAAAGGCACTGGTCACCCTCATCGACTCCATTGCCAAGTACAACCCATCGCCTGCGCTCGCCGAGGACCTGCTGGCCGCCGACCGCGAGCTCAACAGCGGCCTCGAACAGCTGCAAACGCACCAGAACAACCACCTACGCATTCTGGCACTGCGCGATGACGTCGCCGCCCTCGATGGCCAGATCAAGTCGACACTGCTGGCGCTGGCCGCCCGCCGCCGCGACATCCTGCAGACGCCAGCGACCGAGTTCCCCGAAGACAGCGTCAACCGCACGATCCGCGACGAGACGAAGCACTACCCGTTTACGTACGACGAGCTCATGTCGTATGCGCGGCGGATCAGCCGCAACACGGTACCGGGACCGGGGCAGACGGACGGTTCCGAGTTCTTTGCACAGTTTGGCGGGCCAATACCAGCAACCGGTGCCGGCGACGGAGGATCGGCACCCGAGACGGCAGCGCCGACGCCAGCCGCGGCGCCCACGCCAGGAGCAATTCCGGCAGGTCCTGCTTCGGCTGGTGTGAACGGCGCGGTCGGGACGCCCGTGGGTGGCGGCGGCGCACCAGCGTCGCAGTCGGGGACGCCCGGCGGCGCTGGGGGAACGGGTCCCGGTACCGGAACGGGGACGGCAGCACCGACACCAGCACCGTTTGCAAGCAGCGGCGGTGCTCCACCGCCAGCAACAAACGTGCCCAACGTTCTGCCCGACGACCTCAAGAACTACATTGCACCCACCGCCGGCACAGTCTTCTCACCGTGGCCGGCACCCGATCTCATGATGCACGGCGGGCTACGGGCACTCCATGCCGTGACAGAGAGCGCGTGCCGCGATAAGCACATCGCATTGCCACATCTACAAGAACCACCACCAAAAACACAAGCACAAGCACAAGCACAAACACAAGCACAAGCTTCCGTACCTCCACTACGCATCCGGTTTGTCAGTCTCGAAGAGCAAGAGGAACAGGAGCGCTTGCGGGCACAACGCGAAGCCGAGGAGCGCGAAGAGCGCGAAGAACGGCAGCGGCAGATGGAGGAGGCGGCGGCGGCAGCTGCTGGTGCTGGTGCTGGTGCACATGCAAGCTCGAATATGGGCGGCAGCTACGGCCATGCGCCAGCAGCAGCGCCTGCACCAGCCCAGTTTGCCAGCACGCTGGACATGGAGGATGATGATTAGACGTTGTACGAGGTGAATGAAGCTGACATGGGCCAGGATGGGATGGGCTTGGATGATTGTCGGTTGGCAGGGAGTTTGATGAAAGGAAGCACAATACCCAATGTATTTTTAAAAACAAAATCTATAAGCAGATGTAAAACTATGTACAGAGTCGTACGCAAGAAATTCATGATACATTATCGCTCGCATATCCAATCGCCGGCACCCGAGACCGACCTCTATGCACCCTGCGCAAACTTGAGGAACGCCCGCGCGATTGCCTCGCCGTCGTGCTTGTCGTCCACCACGTCGATGCCCTTCTGGTACACGTCGTCCGACAGCACGCCCATGGCGTGCCGCGCCTCCAGAATCTCCCGCACAATCGGGCCCGTGAACTCGGGGTGGCCCTGCACCGTCACCGCCCGCCCGGGCAGCAGCATGCCCTGCACCGCGCACACGTCCGTCGACGCCAGCGGCACCGCCCCTGCGGGATACTCGACCACAATGTCGCGGTGCATCTGCTGGATGGCCAGGCGGCTATGATCGGCCGCGCGCAGCTCGCTGCCAAAGAACGCCACGCCCTCGGGCGACAGCGTCACGTCCGTCACGCTGACCTCCCAGCCCTTGGCGCCCTTGGTGACGGGCGCGCCGAGGGCGCGGCCGATGATCTGGTGGCCGAAGCAGATGCCGAGCATGCGTACTGGGTGGACGCCGGCGGCCTTGGCTTCGGGCGTTGTCGTGGCGAGGGTGCGCTGGGTAAAGGCGACCAGCGCCTGGATCCAGGGCGTGTCGTCAAAGGCAGTGTGCTTGGAGCCGGTGATGAGGACGACGTCGACTTGCGCGAGGTCGGGGTAGGCCGACTCGAAGCCGTCGGCGACAACGTCGTGCGTGGTGATGGCGAGGACCGATTCGACGGACGCGCCCGAGGGGGCCACAGCGCGGCGGAACAGGTCGATGAAGACGCCACCATAGGTGCCGTATGTGGCGGCGGTCTTGGGGAGCGGCGTGTCGGCCATGAGGATGGCCATGCGCAATGGCGCGCTCGCAGCGTTGGAGCCCATGTTCGGTGCTGTGCGTCGAGGGGAGAGGAGAGTGCCGGACGGTAGATCGTAGGTCGCAGTACGGTTGCTTGAGGGTGTTGCTTAGGTCGTTACAGATGAAATGTACGGACGTTGTGGAAAGTTATAAACCCTGGAGTTTTGTTCCTGTACCATAGTAGGCGCCGGGGAAGGGCCTCGACTCATACCAACGGGCGGGGTGAATTAGCTAGACGCCGTCTATCGGCCGTGGCGACAGTGGCTGCCCCTGGACAGCGCCTTTAGCTGCAATGCGCCTGCTGTACTATTAGGCCTTTACTTCGTAGCGGCGTGCCGCCTTGCCTAGTTTGTCAATTGCAGCCGACGACCACTGGCCCAGGCGGGGAGCCTCTCCAATGACGTCTGCAGCTAGTAGAAACGGCCCGTCAAAATTACAGCTTTCAAAAACAATCTCTCTCGGCCACGACACGTACATAACAAACGTCCACAAGTCCACAAACAATCACAATGGTTCCCCGGTCGCTCGGGGCATTCCTAACAGCGGCCCGTTCGGCATTGACCGCCCCTGCCAGCCAGCGACCGAAACCGCTGACCATTGTCATTGGCAACGAGAGTGCAGGTCGGCTCAGCCTTGTCCTCTTCGCTCCTTTTTCAAACTCTTGCACAGCTCCTGACTGATTCTTTTCTAGACCTCGACTCGCTGTGCTCGGCCATTTTGCTTGCCTACTTCCGCTCCCACACGCCGCCGCACAATGCCTCCCTCCACGTGCCGCTGTGCAACCTGCCCCGCGCCGATCTCGTCCTCCGCCCCGAATTGCAAGCTGCTCTAGCCGGCTCCAGCCCTCTCCCCAAAACTGCGTCTGGCTCTCGCCCAATTCCAAGTGGGCAAGGTGGCGTGCCACTGGACAGTCTTATCACGCTGTCCGAGCTTCCCGACGACCTCACGGCAGACGTCACCGAGTGGCTGCTCGTCGACCACAATGCCCTGACCGGCGACCTGGCTGCGCGTTTCCAGAGCAGTGTTGCGGGCTGCATTGACCACCATGTCGATGAGGGTGTGGTCCCGGCTGCTGATGACAAGGGCGCCTTCCCGCGGGTCATTGAGACCTGTGGCAGCTGTGCGAGTCTCGTTGTGGACTACGCCCGTGACGCCTGGCGGCAGCTTGCCGAACAGGAGCCCGACCAGGCGACAGACCGTGTGTTGGCACGCCTCGCCCTGGCACCGATCCTGATGGACACGTCCAACCTCAAGTCGGCCACCAAGACGGTCAAAACGGACCGGCGGTCTGCGGCCGTGGCCGAGGGCGTTCTGGGTGTGAGCAAAGGCGGCGACAAGGGACCGTTCAGCACCTCCTACGATACCGATTCCCACTTCGACCGCACAACCTACTACGAGGAGCTCTCGCGGCTCAAGAACGACATATCGACGTTTAGCTACAGCGATGTCCTCCGCAAAGACTACAAGCAATGGCGTGAAACGACTGGCAGCGGCGGCAGCCTGACTGTCGGCTTCTCCACAATCTCCCAGGGACTTGGGTATGTTCTGAAGAACATTGGCGACCGCGACGCCCTGGTCGCCGGTCTAGAGACGCATGCCAAAGAGAGAAACCTGGACATTGCCGTCATCATGACTGTACAACACGACGACGGTGGATTTGCACGCCAACTGTTGCTGTGGGCACTGAATGAGCCAGCGGTAAAGGCCGCAAAGGGTTTTGTGGAGGCGAACTCGGAGAAACTTGACTTGAAGCCTTGGGGCGACGGCCTGCTCGACGGCGCCGAGGAAGATGGTCAGTGGCGGGCGTGCTGGACACACCGCACCGAGTTCAGTCGCAAACAGATGGCACCTTTGCTGCGAGATGCGATGAAGGCTTCATAGTCGTGGCGTAGAAACAAAACTAAGCGAGGTACGCCCAGACCAAATTTAGAAGACCACTTTCGTACGTGCTGGTTCACAAACCGTTTCATCAGTTGCATCTAAAACGGCCTGTGCCGTCGTGAACTCGCCTGCCCAGCACCCGGCAATCACGGCGCCGAGGGGAAGCCGAGTTATGTCAGGATACTTGCCCTCCCGCATCAGCTCATCTGCCTTGCCGTCGAATCCATATTTGGCTTCATACGCTTTTCCCTCCTTCCAGTGCGGAATGCGAGACGCGACAATCTCGTACAGAGTCGACCCGAGAGCATGCAGCTCCCCTGCGATGGTGCCCTGCATTTCTTCTTTGGGGTGTCGGAACCTCGATTGCGCCGACACTTCGGGCCGTTCACCATCGATGCCCGAGCCGGCAAAGTCGCACAGGCACACGGAGCGGTCTTTCCTCAGCAAAACATTGCGGCTGCCCAGGTCGCCCTGGATGACGCCCTTGCTGTGGATGTACACGACGGCGCTCGTCACTTGGCGGCACCACCGCACACGCTCGGCCTCCGAGACCTGTTGGCCCTCCTCGGTCTCTGAGAAATAGAGTCGCAACGCGCCGTGTTCGGCGCGTTCGAGGATAATCCGGCCGCCGCGGTCGTTGTCTTCCATGCGAATGCAGCGTACAATGTGCGGGTGGCGGCCGTGCTCCTGGTCGGCGCCGAGGCGTTTCAGGATGCGCATCTCTCCTAGCAGGCGCGCAACATACTCCTTTTCTTCAAATGGTAGTTTGGCAACAATCGTGGGGTCGTCAACAAACTCGTAGACCGCGCCAGTGCTACCAAACTGGAGAAGGCTGCAACCTTCTGGGCGGCGAACGCCGCGTGAGTGTGTCGTGGCAGTGGTCATGATGACAAGTGAAAACGGCTGTTGCAATGGACAGAGCGTCGATGTTCGGCGCTGGTATGTGCGCGTCACGGTCGATGCCAGTGGGTATAATGGTGCGCAGAACGGTATGTTCTTTAAACATGGCAGTGTCAGAGGTACAACAGGAAACTGGATATCTGTATATTGGTGTTCTAGGTGAAAAATGGAAACATTTGAGATGTGCGTTCCGCACGGGTTACGCATCAGTAAAGACATGGACGTGCGTGAATCTATTTGGCGAATGGAGATGTGGCGCGCAAAGATGTGGTTGAAGTGGGGCGTTACATATTGGATTTGTTTACGGAGGAATACAACACATTTGTTGACCAAAGCCAACACGTCGACTACGTGCCGTTTCCGCCAGCCTACAAAACATAAAATGCACCACTGACTCGATGGTTGCTGCAACAAAAAAGCATGGCCTCGCGGTGGACAGCACGCCCGCGAAGCGCGCCCGACGAACGAATGCGGCAGCAGACATAAAGCGGCCGGAGGCTACAAACAGAGCACGGAAACGGGACACGCACGCGCGGCCGGGGCGAACGCCAAGCACACCGGGCACGTTGAACTCGCCACCGACAGTGGTACTCGATGTGTTCGTGTTCGGTGACGGCGAGGCCGGCGAGCTGGGACTGGGCCCTCATGTCACCGGCGCCGACAGCCCCAAACTGAACCCGTTTCTGAGCGCTTCCACGACGACGGCGGGCGCTACGCCGGCCTTTGATACGGTGCAGGTGGCCTGCGGCGGTATGCACTCGGTGGCGCTGACCCGCGACAACCAGATTGTGACCTGGGGCGTGAACGACCTCGGCGCGCTCGGCCGCGACACGTCCTGGGACGGCGGCTTCAGAACGATCAGCGCGGCCGGAGACGGTAGTGGTGGCGATGACAGTAGCGACACCAGCGACGACGAGACACTGAACCCGCGCGAGTCGACCCCGACCGCTATCCCATCGACGGCCTTTCCGGAGGGCACCCGCTTTGTCCAGGTGGCCGCCGGCGACAACTGTACCTTTGCCCTGACGGACGCCGGCGCCGTCTACGGCTGGGGCGCCTTCCGTGCGCCCAACGGCGAGACGTTCTTTTCCGCGGACCGCGCAGGTGGCGCAGCCAGCCAGCTGGGGTTTCAGCGCACGCCGGTACGCGTCCCGGGATTGCAAGGCATCACGCAGCTGGCCGTCGGCGCGAACCATGCGCTGGCGCTGGAGGGGCGCGCCAGCACTCAGTCGGCACAACCAACACAGCGGACACGGCCGCAGACACGCCTCTGGACCTGGGGCTGCGGCGACCAGAACCAGCTCGGCTGCCGACTGTTGACGCGCCACGGCATACACGACCCGCGGGGCAATGCGTTAATCGGCTCGGGCGTACCACGGATGGTCGCGCTCCAGCACGCCGGCAGCCTCGCCTTGGTCGCCTCTGGCGAGTACCACTCCTTTGCCGTCGGCACCGACGGCCGCGTCTGGGCCTGGGGCCTCAACTCGTTTGGCCAGACGGGCGCCGAGCCCGACATCGTTCGGCGCCCCAACGACGACAATGCAGAGCTGTCCGTCGCCGTACCGACCGAGGTCACGGCGCTTGCCCACACGGGAGTCGTGGCCCTCGCCGGCGGCGGCCAGCACTCGGTGGCCCTGAGTGCCGACGGCCGTTGCCTGGCGTGGGGACGCGTCGACAGCGGGCAGCTGGGGCTGGACCTGGCGGCGGTCGCGCAAGACCGGCTCCTTGCGGACGCGCGAGGCCGCATACGCGCCTGCCTCGTACCGACCGAGATCGATCTCAGCATCGACGGTGGCCCCCAGGCCAATGCCCTGGCGACGGCGTGTGGTACCGGGCACACGCTGATCGTCACGTCGGCCGCCGGGCGCGCTGGACACGCCGCCGTGTTCGGCACCGGCTTCAATGCTCAAATGCAGCTAGGCCTCGGTGCCAGCGCCGACGAGGAAGTAGCCGTCCCCACCCGCCTCGAGAGCAAGGCTTTGCAGGAGAGGTCTTTAACCTGGACCGGCGCTGGCGGGCAATTTTCGATGGTGGCTGGGCCCAGGCGCGCCGTCGGTGCGTTAGCTCGTGCGGCACGGTGATCTAGAATAGATTTGTAGGTTGTTTCATAACGGGATGGACCAGTGTACGAGAAATAAGAAGGCTTTATTAGGAACCATAAGGAAAGGGGACGTGATTGGCAGCTGCTCAGCGGGCGAGTTCGCGATGTCGCAGGCCGTTTTAGTGTCCTTTGGACGGGTCTCGTTTTGTAATCCTTTGCATTTTTCTGTCGCGAGGTAATCATTGCGGATTTTGAGGGCTTGTTGAGGTAATTATACTTATGTGCAGGATGCAGTTGACTTTTAATGTTATTAAGCGGTAATTGAGCATTGCCGTTAGAAAGTCAATTCTCACGACATCGTCATACTGTCGGTAATGTAAGGCTTCAGTAAAGAAATTTGGAAAAGTAAATGATTTTGAAACTTTCAGGAACTATTTTCTTTTTTTTACGAAATAAATAAATAACTGAATAATATGAAATTAAATGCGGATAAAAAACAGTATCAAAATCAGAGTACTAGGGAACTAGCATATTTAAGAGAATACATTCAGGGACGATAAAATAATATGTAGATGTAACAAGATACAGAAACGTTACCATTCTGTGCTGAAATCAGATGTTAATAAAAACAAAAAAAAACGTACAACAGCGGGTATTCGCTGGTCGTCACCGACCCAACTACTAATCCGCCGATTGATGGTTTGACTAGGGGAGAGCGGACGGGATCCCGTATTGTCCATCATCTATGGTCGTACGTGGAAGAAGTAGGTTCTAATTGTTACTATATGGCGTACATTCACCACTACCGACCCGCATCCCTCTGCGTCATTGCCGGCAGCTTGACACCGGCAGCTAGCTAACACCATCGCACCTGGAACATTCACCTAGTGTGTGCCCGCCTTTGACAACTGTATTTCACACTCGAATGCCCACATTGAAAACCAAACACTTCCCGACGCTCTCCCTCCCGGTCCAATTCATGAATTCCGGCACTGGCCTCCGCATCGCTGCTCGAATTTTCCGCAAACCCTCCATACTTGCACCCCGCACAGCTATTCACCCGCGTCTCGCCCGCGCCTTCACCATGTCCACCAAGACCCAAGAACCCGTCATCACCAGCATTGACGACCTCCAGACGTCCGAGGCCCGCTGGCTCGCTCTCAAGCGCATCCAGTATGTCGACCAGACCGGCAAGAGCCGCACCTGGGAGGTCGCCACGCGCAAGACTCGGGGCAAGGCGGGTGTCGACGCCGTCGCCATGGGCAATGTCCTGCGCCACCCCCGGCGCCCGCCCGCGACGCTCATTGTGATTCAGTACCGCCCGCCCCTGGACGCCTACACGGTCGAGTGGCCCGCGGGGCTGATTGACGCCGACGAGACGGCCGAGCAGGCTGCCGTGCGCGAGTTCAAGGAGGAGACGGGCTATGAGTGTCGCGTGACGAGCGTGAGCCCGCCGCAGGCCGCCGACCCGGGCATGAGCAACGCCAACATGCAGCTGGTCATGGTGGACGTGGACCTGGCCGAGGACGACAGCGTGGCGCCCGAGCAGCGTCTCGAGGACGGCGAGCACATTGAGCGGGTGATTGTCCCGCTGTCCGAGTTTTACGACCGGCTGGTCGAGTACGCGGCGCGGGACCGGTACGTGGTGGCGGCCAAGCTGTTCCACTTTGCCGCGGGCATGCAGTTTGCCCAGACGAACAAGTTGACGTAGGGGTTGGTGGACGAACACATAGGGACAGACGTTGCCGGCCGTCCTCGCTTTACAAATATGTACAATAGACACCGCGACTTGCGATTGCAGACCTTGTCTTGATGCTGTGCGTTCATACTGGGCGTAGACGTATTCTAATGCAGTTGAATTCTTTGCGAGAGCCATAACGCCGAGTAATTCTTAATGGAACTCCAGAAACGCTGAATACAATAACTTTTTCGTCGCGCCGGATCGAAACATGCGAATAATACAGACACGGAACCCCCCCTCCACCAGACTACAACTGCCACACTGTCCGCTTCTTCTCCATGCGCCCCTTCCACTCAAACGCCTGGCCCGACATGCGCTGGATGCCCTTGTCCACCCGCCGCAGCTTGAGCGTCATCCGCGGACCAATCTCCTGCAGGGCCACACGCACGTCCTCCACGCCCGTCATGGCTTTGCCGTCCTTTTCGGTCACGCTGCGCTCCGTCGCCCGCTTCTCGCGCATCATGTACCGGTGCCGCCGCACAAACACGTAGTCGCGCTGGTTGTGCAGCGTCAGCACCGTCCGGCCAATGAGCTCCGGGTCCTTGGGGAACAGCCGGCCCAGCACGCCGCCCACCAGCTTGCCGAGAGACGTGTCAAAGTTGTTCATGATCAACTCGGGGATGTGGCCCGTGGACCGCGCGTGGTTGGGCAGGCGCTTGGCGTCGACCCAGGTCTGGATGGAAAAGTGCAGCATGGGCCCGTTGGGCAGCAGGGTGATGTCGAGCCCCGACGGCTTCTTCTGGTCCTCGTTGACAATGAGCAGCGCCGTGTAGCCGCGGTTGTGTGCGTAGCCGGCGATCTCGCGGACGCTGTACTCGTGGCTGACGTAGCGGTGGCCAGACCGGGGAATGTAGGTGCTGTTGGGGAACACGTCGGTAAGCGTCTGCGCGTATTTGTGGATGGTGGCGTGGCGGGAGGTCGTGATGAGAATCTTGGGCTGTGTCGGTGTGGCTGTCGCGCCGGATTCGTCGGCCGTGGCGCTGCTGTCTTCGTCTGGCAGAAGTGCCGAGTACTTGGCGGCCATGGCGTCTTCGTGGGCGGCGCGCGCGGCCGCCTCTTCGGCCGCCTCCTTCTCCTCCTGCTCTTGGCGCTTGGTCTCGGCGAGAGCGGCGGCCTCGGCCCGTTTTGTCTTTTTGTCCGCCTTGCTCAGCCCGACGTCGTTTGCTTCTTCTTCATCATCGCTTGCGAGTAAACTGGCAATATCGCTGTCGACTTCGTCCTCGCCAATCTTGTCGCCGTCCTCCACTTCCATCTTGTCGTCCTCGCCCTGTGCTTCGGCCGCCTCATCGGCCTCGTCCTCCTCTTCCTCCTCCACTGCAGGCTTTTCCTCCACTACCCGCCTCCGCTTGCGGCGTGCATAGTAGTCTTCAGACACCGGGTACTCGCGCTTGTCTTCGAGGGTCTTGGGCTTATTCTTGGCCAGCCGCTCGGCCTTGAGTTCGGGGTACTTCTCCTCTTCGCGCCGCCGTTCGCGCCGGTCGGCAATGGACTTCTTTCCCTTGGCCGCCTTGTTCTGCAGCCATGTGGATTGCCGCACGATCTTGTTACGCGAGCCCATGTTGTTGGCTGGGCAGGTAGGTGTTGTGCGAAATGTGATATTGAAAAATCGTGTTGGATGGCTGGTCGGGGGCAAGGCTGGATGAGGAGGATGGATCGGAGATCACAGCATTTGGCGGTAAACTTTTTTTCTTATCGCCCTAAATTTTCATATCGCGATAAGCCGCATATTTCGCAGCAAACTTTTGCTATGCAAATGGCGAAATTGACTAAACTAGAGGCCCCTGTAATGCACCCAGAATGCTCCCTAATGCACCTAAATGTCCTGTAGATAAGCCCATAATCTTCCCCAATCGCCTAATGCTTGTTCTGGTATTCCGCCGCCCAAATGCGCTGCCACTTCTCCTTGTCCACCGCAAACTCCCGCACAAAGTCGTTTTCCAGCTCGTGCGTCCTCCGGCCCAGCAGCACCAGACTGTGCAGCGGCGGGCCCAGCGCATCGTCCGCTTCGCACAGCTCCTTGAGCGTGCCAGCCACAAACACTTGCTCGCGACCGCCGACGCGCGCCGCGCCAATGGCCAAGCTGTCCTCGCCGTAAACCCCTTCCTTGCGCTCGGCCTCGATCTCGAGCATCTGCTTGGCACAGGTACCGACCGTCATGTAGCGTGGCGGCTCGTAGACAATGCGACCGCGGGCCAGGCTCGCCAGGTTGGGCTCCTTGACCTTGATGTCGAGCAGCACGAGCGTGTGCAGGCCAATGTCGCGGTTCTCCTTGATGCGGTCGTAGAAGCTGGCCGGACGCCACTCGTCGGTAAAGAAGACCATGGACACGGTCTGGCCAAAATTGTAAAGCTGGAGGCCGCAGGCGCCAATGCCGGACATGATGGAAGCGTTGGGGACGGAAGCGACGGTGATGCCTAGTTCGCGGGCACGGAGGGCGAGGTCGGTGTGAGTGGTAGCACTGTTTGAAAACCGGCGTCAGAGGAACGAAGCGAGACAAAACAAAAACAGTAAAAAACAATAGAATTAAAAAGCATATGGAGCATACCCGAACGGATCACCAACGACGCAGAAAGCTACATCCTCCGTCTGCGCATTGGCAAGAATGTCGTCGCTTGAGCTCTCGACCATTTCGCGGTCAGCAATAATGATGGACCGACCATAATAGGACTCCTATGCAAAGAAGCATGTTTAGTTCTAATGTCAATGACAGTCTGCATCATGTACCGTCAAACATACCAGAACCTCCTTGTTGACGAGGAGAATGCTTGTGTAGGCCTCGAGGTAGACCCGGGAGGCCTTCTTGACGATCTCGAGACCCTTGACGGTAATGTCCGTCTCGTCAGAGAGACCGAGACCCACGAGGTACAACATGCTGATGTTGGGGTGTGTGAATGTCTTTCGTGACGCTCGTGGGAAGAAAATGTATGCTCCTCGATGCGATTCAGTCGCCTCTTGCCCCTCTGCTTATCGCGATAAGCCAAAAAAAAAAGGTTGGCTGGCAAAGGCGCCTGGAACCGCCATAAGTTAGCGTGCTTTTGTTCTATCGCCAATTCTCCCATTCTTCATCCCAATTCTCATCACCGTCGACTTGCATCGAACTCCACAAGCAACCAACGACGCGTACTGCGTTTCAGGACATAACCTCTCTCTTAGTTTGAGCCCAACTTCCATATCCACTTGACGACACACAGCCGCCGCGACAATGTCAAAACAGGGCTCCGCCTACGGCACGCCGGCCGGTGACACCGAGTTCCGCAAGACACGCGATGTCGCCGAATATGCAGCCAAGGCCAAAGAACGCGAAGCCAAGGAGCGCGAGGAGGGCAAGGCGCGGTACGAGGCCAGGCTCGCGGGCAAGCGCTACTACAAACCCCTCGAGGGCAACGAGACGCTGACGGCCGCGCGCACGACCATGTCCGACCTCAACGCGCTCGTCGGCACGACGCAGATGGTGGCCCCCGGCCGACGTGCCGGCCCGCTCTACTGCAAATACTGCGACTGGACGGCCAAAGACAGCGTCTCCCTGACGGAGCACGAGAACTCCATGTACCACTTGCGGAACGTCGGCCAAACGGGGCAGGTCAAGCGGGCGTCGGCCGCCGACGTGCTGGAGCGCATCGAGGCCGTGTGGGCACGCCTCGAGGCCGAGAAGAAGGACGCGACGGTCAACCTCAAAGAGCGCCTGGCCATACGACAGCAAGAAGACGACGCGGAACGCGAGCGGCGGCGGATCAAGAAGCGCGACCTTGCCGAGAAGAAGAAGGCGGCAAAAGAGGCCGAGGCGGCCGCCCTGGCAGCGAGCCGGATGGACTACGGCGACGACGTCCGCATCGAAGGCGAGCACGACGAAGAAGACATGATGGAGATGATGGGCATCACAGGATTTGGATCCACCAAGAAAAACTAAAAGGCGCTGTTTTGCTGTGGAAGATATTGCATATGGGGGATAACATGGGGCACAGTATGTTGCGGCGTTTTATCAGGCATTTTCACTGGCGTTAGCTTTTGGATTCTTTTATTATTATACTGAATATAGCACGATACCCTGGCCATTCTGTCCATAAGCAAATAAAAGAAATTCATAGACAAAGCTGTTACAACAACTACGTAAGATATGCATGGCGGCTAACGTGTCGAACACTGTATCGTGGTTACTATTGCAGAGGCCTAGCCGGCTTTGCCCCACCATCACTAGATAAGGGAAGGTGCGATCCGTCGAGATTGTCCTCCGAATCCACTGCATTCGCTGTGATATATTATGCGGGGCGCGCACCTTCTCGGACCCTCCCCCTTCCTCATCTCTCGAGAGCCTCAAACCGTGACAAGTTGACGCAATCTCTCAGTGGCTGCCTGAGGGTATCCCTCGTACGACCATATACGATACACGGACGATTAGTCGAATACCTAACTCACAGTAATTTTCGAATAGCACCGTCTCCTCAGAGCTTCAGCACCCGATTGTCACTCAACCCCCACTTCCGCCGACTTCGCGGCCGCCATTGCTTGAACCTTTTCGTGTCTTTGACGTTGCTGGCTACGAACCACGAAAGCAACCCGGATTCCTCTCGATCCAGCGAAATATTCACTCTTTTTCGGCCATTCGTGTTCACCGTCCACCCACGCCATGGCGTCCTCCGGTGCGGCGAACCTGCTGCGGCGCCAGCTCAAGCAGATGCAGACCGATAAGGACATTCCGGGCATCTCCTGCGGCCTCACCGACGCCAACAATATTTTTGAGTGGATGGTCATGCTCATGATCAGCGACGACGTCAAATACTACGGTGGTGGAAACTTCCGCGCCATCCTCTCTTTCCCGCCCGAGTACCCGTTGCTGCCGCCGGTACTCAAGTTCCAGGATCCGATACCCTTCCACCCCAACGTGTACCCCAACGGCGAACTCTGCATCTCGATCCTGCACCCGCCCGAGGAAGACAAGTACGGCTACGAGGCGGCGAGTGAGCGGTGGTCGCCCGTGCAGACGCCCGAGACGATTTTGCTGAGCGTGATAAGCTTGCTGGCCAGCCCCAACGACGAGAGTCCTGCAGACCTGGACGCAGCACAGATGTGGCGCGACGAAGTGGCCGGCAAGAACAAGGACTTTCGGAAGCGGGTGCGGCAGTGTGTCCGCCAAAGCCTCGGGGAGGAATAGATGGAGAGGGGTTGGCACACGGAACGGTTCACACGTGCTCGTTGTTGACCCTGGAGCGGAACACAATATACCTTGCATAAAGAGGAGGGCGCATCGGAGCATTGGAGTGGCATTGCTTTGCCTTGTATTGGATTCGGGCGTCAAATTGCATACTTTCTACCTGCATTTATTGTATTCCTATTTCAGTCATTCGTTGTGTATTCATTGCTTTGCTGTTTCATAGCCGTATGGTATCTCTAATTCAACGTTAATTCAGTACACCTTGCTCCTCTTGTTTGCCTATTTGGTCTTTTTAGACGCAGCCGCTTCGGACAGTTCAAAGATTGGTGCCACAACACGGTTCCACTCTTCAGGCCACCGCAGAACACTCTCTTTCCGAGCGCCCTGCCGAAGGTTCTCTAATTCGGTCGTTTGTGGAGCTGCCTGGTCCCGGCGGTCCAACAGACGTGCAAGGAGGGCCGCCAGCTCACCCGACGTAGTGAATCCACGCCCGTTGTCGCCGTCGCGCACCAGCTCGCCAAAGCTCTCGTAGTCCGAGTATGCGGCCACGGGAAGACCGGCGCCAAACATGTCCACAACCTTCATTGGCAGATCCACGCCCGAGCTGGACATGTGGAGGCACACACCCAGATCAGCAAGCGCGAGAAGACGGGCGTAGTCTTTCATCGGCAGGAACGCCGTGCGCACAGCGATTTGGTCAGGTGGGAGATGCCCGTCGGCGGCGAGCTGCGCCAGCTTGCGCTCGTACATGGCCTTCTGGGGACCTTTACCCGTAATGACGGCTAGCACAGGTGGCCGCCGACCATTCGCCGAGTCACTGGGAACGTCCCGGATGTACGCCACCAAGGCGTCGAGAAGCAGCTGGAAGTCCTCGTCGGGTGTCCACGACGTACTGCTGACTAGCACTTTGGTGTTCATGTTTGCAAGCAGGCGCCGCACAACAACGTCACTTGCGCCCGCAAGAATGCGTGCGACCTCTTGTCCTCGGGTGGCTGGTGGGAAAGACGTGGAGAATTCGACAGGCTGAAATAGCTCAGCAGGACGGTCGTGCAGAACGGCAAGGGGTGCCGAGGCCGGGAGGTTGTACGGCGCTTTACGAAGCTGTGCAGCCATGGCGGCCGTCACAGCCAGGTGAGCGTCACCAAGGCGCCCAAAGATGACCTCGTAGGCCTTGGACACACCAACAAAAGGATGTTTGGCTCCACGTGTGCCGGCAAGGATGCTCCAGCCGTAGTTGTGCCAGTCGATGAGAAGCTTCGTGCCTCGCAGGGAGCAGACGAGAGCAGCGACTGCTAGGGTCGGGATGGACGGAGGGTTTTGGACAAGCAACCAGCGGGCCGGACGTGTAAAATACGTGAGGGTCATGACCAAGTTGAGGATCTGCCAGACAACCTTGAGCGGACCTCCAA